CTTAGTTCATGAAAAACATACAATGTTTAGTTTATCACTTTAGAAGGTTGCGTTTAGGTGAACGACTACTTTGAAAATAGTATATACTAAACCATGTTTGATCGAAAGTTTTTGCGAAAATATTGAGGCTCGATTTTATGACGTCATAGAGCACGGGGGGGGGGGGGTGGGCAACCCGCGGCAGGCGCGGATCCAGGGGGAAAAAAGGGGGAAAAAGGGGGAGGAAAAAAAAGCAGGAAAAAAAAGGGGGGAAGCAGGGAAAAAAAGAAGGGAAAAAAAAGGAGGGAAAAAAAAGGAGGAAAAACAAGAAGGGAAAAAAAAAAGGAAAAAAAAAAGAAGGGAAAAAAAGGAGGGGAAAAAAGAGAGAGAGAGAGAAGGAAAAGAAGGGAAAGAGGAGAGAAAGGGAAAGAAAGAAGAGGAAGAAGAAAAGAAAGGGGGAAGAAGTGATGCGGGGGCGAAAGAGCCTCGCCCCCCCCCTCCCCCAATCAAAAAATAAGAGAGAAGGAAGGAAATAGAAAGAAGGGGATATCAGTTGCAATTTTTCCGCCAACAAGTTGTGAATCGGGGTGGGGGTGGGGCAAAATGCCCTTGCCTCCCCCCGCCCCGCTAAAAAAAGAGAGAAAGAAGGAAAAGGAAAAAGGAGAGCTAAAAGGGACCAAAAAAGAGAAAGAAGAAAGGTAGGGGAGATCAGTTGCGATTTTTCCGCCAACAAAGTGTAGATCGGAGGGGGCGGTGCACTGGCGTATTGATCGGGGAGGGGGCTCGGGGCAAATAAAATTTAAACGTGGTTTATTTTTAATTCCATAACTACACATAATGCTGAAATGACATAATTTTCCGAGAATTTCCTCTTTCTTTAGTAAATTATACTTTTTTTATGCGTTTGTAAATTAACAGCCAGGCAAGAAATATGCTTTTTGAGATGCCTACATGTCAGTGCCCGCGGAAAGGCGGGGATCGGGAGCCTCCAGCTCCCCCCCCCCCCCCCCCCCATTTTTTTTTTTTTTTTTTGTATGGAAAAGCAATTTAAAGAGAAATGGAAAGAAAGAGAGCCAGAAAGAAAGAATAGTTAACTACCAGTGTCACAACAAAATAAGGTATAAAAAATTGCTCATCTGACCGTAATTAAACGCCTAAAACCCCTGAGCTTCCCGGGGCTCTACCCCCGGGACCCAACCAAGGGCCCTTGGGCAGCCCTCTTGATACTCATCTGACCGCAATTTATAGGTATAAAAAATTGCTCATCTGACCGTAATTAATCGCCTAAACCCCTGAGCTTCCGGGGCTCTGCCCCCTGGACCCCACGGGATGCTAATCTGACGGTAATGTAATGCTTAGAACCCCTGGGCTTCTGGGGGCTCCGCCCGCTGGACCTCACGCCAATCAGTGTCCAGCCAGTGTCACAAATAAGGTATAAAAATATGTTCATCTGACCGTAATCAAATGCCTGAAACCCATGAGTTTCCGGGGGCGGACAAGGTATCAAAAGATGTTCATCTGACCGCAGGCGCGTAACCAGGGGGGCAGTGGGGGCGCCCCCCCCCCCAAAAAAAAAAAAAAACGCCCGCCAAAAAAAGAGAGGAGAGAAAAGGAAGAGGACGTATGAAGAAAAAGGAGCAGACAAAAAACATTTTTGAAATTCAGACAAGGATTAGGAGTCGAAAATGGTACAACGAATCGTCTTCTTTCACTAATGATTTAATGAAACGTAAAAGCTTCCGTGCTTCGCGCGGGAGGTGGAAAACTGTATCCTGACAAGGATTATTTTCGAGAACGGTACAACTAATCGTCTTGTTTCTCTAATAATTATATTAAATGTCAAAGCTTCCGCGCTTCGCGCAGGAGGTGGGGTAACTGAATTTAGACAAGGATTAAGAGTCGAGAACGGTACAACGAATCGTCTTCTTCCTCTAATGATTTAATGAAACGTAAAAGCTTCCGCGCTTCGCGCGGGAGGGGAAAAACTGTATTCAGACGAGCAGGCACGTACGCAGGGGGGGGGGGGGGGTTACCCCCCCCCCTTCGTTTTTTATGTGTGTATTTTGGAGCAACCCCCCCCCTTTTTTGTGATGTTTTTTTTTTTAATTAAAAAAAAGAAAGAAATTATGCCAATGGCTGACCTCAAAAGGTGACCTCACCCCCACCCCCCCTCCCAACGGAACAAAATGTCAAATTTTCAAATTTCGAGACCAAAAAACAAAAAAAGTGTCCTCTTACCCCCCCCCCCCCCCTCCCCCCCCCCCCCCCCCCCCCCCGCTTATTTAGCGGCTGGCTGAGTCGTTGGGATTTTTTTTGGGGGACCAACAAAAAGTGGCCCCCCCCCCCCCCCCCCCCCCCCCCCCACTAAGAAATCGTGGATCCGCGCCTGGCCCGTGAGCTCTTCTAGTGCGGCCCGCGTAACGTTACAAAAGTAATTATAAAAACAACTGTAAATGAAATGTGGCCCAAATAGTAAAACATTTACACACAGCTACCTCTATTTCCATAATTTGTTCTCATCATTCACAACATATTGAATCGTTACGTGGTTGATAGAAAATTCCTCTAGTTCCGTCTCATTACATTAGATTAAACGACATTAACATGTTTCGGGAAACTTACAATCATTTTCGGTTCTGAAACCTGACTTGCTAAAACTTGTCCATCCATGGGGGGGGGGGGGGTACTCACATATTAGGTCATATGGGTGAACCACTCTAATGGGTCACTTTTTACCAAAAATCCTTAAACGGCGATCCCATCTTTAACAAAAATATCATTAAAAATAGGTCCATTTTTTCAAAATTTGTAGAATTCCAAAATATTCGGGTGTTTGCCATGCCATGCCAACACCCGAAAAACACCCTAAAATTGTGGAAAATGGGTGTTTTTTCGAGAAAAATTACCCAAAATGATCTCTAGTAGGGGGAAGGGGTTTTGAGGCTTGAGGGGCACATCTCCGTCCAAACCAAATCTGAGTATTCCCCCAGGTGTCCATCAAAATGCAGCCCCAGAAATCACACCAAAAAAAGTAAGCCTGATTTTGTTGTTTGCTTGTTTTTGCAAAATTGCAGGTGTGTGTGTGGGGCCGGGGGAGAGACTACCTACGGCCCGTCAAGTTATGCAAATCGTTAGATGTGGGCCACGAGCTTTACAAAGGTTGGCGACCCGTGTCATAGAGTGAAGTAACTGGTGCAAAATCGGAAGTGTCGCTCGTGAGATTCAATACAGTACCATCAAATTTACATCAATGATTATATTACAAGAACTATTTTGTTACAAGAACTATTTCGTTACAAGAACTATTTCGTTACAAGAACTATTTCGTTACAAGAACTATTTCGTTACAAGAACTATTTCGTTACAAGAACTAACAAATGAAATTGAAATTGATATTGAACTATAAAAAGTCAATGCCGGGGAGCAGTTTATATATGCTTTGACAGCAATGACAACGTTTGACAGCAATGACAACGTTTTAGACCCTGCCTTAATTAATTACACACGCAAAATTGAAGAAGAGAAACTGACTCAACAAATCGATAAATAAATTATGACCGTTTGCGGAAAATTACATACATCGTTCCAGGCGCGTACGCAGGGGGGGGGGTTTGGGGGGTTAAACCCCCCCCCCCTTTGGTAATTTTTTGTGTGTAAACCCCCCCCCCCCAAAACCCCCTAAAACCCCCCCCCCCCCCTTTTGGATTGTTTTTTTTTTTTTTTTTTATTTATTAAAAAAAAAAATTAAAAAAATTATTCCCATGGCCAACCTAAAAAAGGTGACCTTACCCCCACCCCAACGGGTCAAAATGTCAAATTTCCAAATTTCGAGACCAAAAAAAAAAAAAAAAAAGTGTCCTCTTACCCCCCCCCCCCCCCCCCCCCCCCCCCCCCCCCCCCCCCCCCCCCCGCTTATTCAGCGGTCGGCTGAGTCGTTGCGATTTTTTGGAGGACCAAAAAAAAAAAAAAAAATGTGTCCTCTTACCCCCCCCCCCCCCCCCCCCCCGCTTATTCAGCGGCTGGCTGAGTCGTTGCGAAATTTTCGGACCGATTTATAAATGTTAAAACCCCCCCCCCCCCCTTGAAAAAATCCTGCGTACGCGCCTGCATCGTTCGTTCGTGTCTCCTTAGATCAAGATTAATGTAATCTTGATCTTCGGAGTAGTTGCTACAACCGGCCGTGTCAGACACGTTGCGAGATAGGACTCTTGTAGCGTGCCCCCATTTAAAACAATCATACAATAACAGTTACATTTAATTAATAGTATTAAACTATTAAAATTACTCTCATGTTACGGGAAAAAATATTGCATATATATATTATGAATCAATTAATTTGTCGATCCAGTTCGATGGCACAAACACGGCACTACTGGACAGAGATCCTAATAATTATTCGCATGGAATAATTAATTAATTTGTCACTATGTTATGCTCACGCATTTTGGTCAATAGATTCGATGATAAGCTATAACGGCACCAGAAACTTAATTGTTTCGGGAGAAGCTCCAATAAACAATGTGGATTTTTAAGAACCCAGGCTGTGGATATGCTTGTTAGAATGTATAATTTCAGGAACTCTTTGGTGTAGGCCCGACGCCCATAGTCATAGTCTTGACATAGTTTTTGTCAAAGTCTTAAAAGGTCGAAGTAGATTAAGTGGTCAAACCGTATGGGCTTCATTGGGTGATTATTTAGGGCCAAGCTCTTTTTTAATATATAAAAATCAAGAATTTGATGGTTCTTTGGGCTAAAAGTTATGATTAAAATTATCTTGAAAACATATCGTCAGTAACTAAGATGTTCTGTGTAAATGGACGTTGTCAGACCTTGTAGAACTAGGCTTGAGTCCTTCACAAGTTCCCATAAAACGCTTTGGGATTTGTAAAGAATAAAGAAAAATAGTCAAAAAAAATACCAGTATATTTGTCTCGAACAGGAAAGACGATTTTTACTAGAGCAAAAAAAAAAAAAGTTGGGCCCCCTCCCCTAAGAAATCCTGGATCAGCGCCTGGTAGTCTGACTCGTTGAAAGACTTTAATACAGTACCATCAGATTCACATCAACGATTATGTTACAAGAACTATTTCGTTACAAGAAATAAAAGTTTAAATTGAAATTGGAAGTGGTATCAATATCATTCACATTCCTGCACAGCTCTACGTCGGACGCCACATTTGTCAGGATTTTTCTGTAAGTATTTAATTACTTTTTTTAAATGATATTTTAATCGTGTGTCGTCACAAAATTTACGATAATGAAATAATAATGATTTATATACTTCCACAAGCGATTGTGATTATGGTGATTATTTTCATATTCATCCATTGCAATTCAGGTATGATGCGACAAGATATTTGCTTCGGACTTTGTCAAAGATATAGGAGAAGGGTTTGTATTGCTGGTGGAATTTAGGATATGAGGGTTAAATATAGGATTCGGCACGGTTTGGTGTTCGGTAAGGTGAATTATGATATGTTAAGGGTTCAATATAGGGTTCGGTTATAGGTATACTGTGTTTTTTCTTTGGGAAAAGTCGGCGTTCATATTTGCCTTATGATCTTTAATCCGTTTTTTTTCTTCTTCAGATCAATTTCCCGCCTAAAACACAACAAGGATTTTCAATATGTCAGGTAAGTGTAATTCATTTTCTTGGGGGAAGACGAAGTGGAGAAGAAAGTAGAATAAAGTTGTACTTTTTTATTTAATGAAGAACAGAGATAATTGACAACAGGGAATGGCTTGAAAACTTAACCGATAATTAGAGTGTGCGACGCTTTTATCAGTTACCCTGTTATGGAAGTTTCATACCTGTGTTTCTTATCCAATTAATCATTTCCAATGTTTAGAATAAAATATCGACAAAATTAATCAAATCTAAATTGGAGGAATATTTTCATGCAATTAAAATACAATTTTGTGGATTACATCTTCAAACCCAATGTATTTGTCCATATTATGACTCATTTCAAAGCGTAAATAAAATTATTTATCTCAGTCTGTAGATTTAGGAGTTAATTGGAATCAAATCTACATTGAAATGTGAATGTAAATGTCGATGTAAGTTGAAATTGAACTTGAGACTGATATTAAGAATGAGACTATAATATTGAGATTGAGATTGAAATTGAAAAAGAAATAAAAACTGAGAATGACATTGAAAGGGAAATTGAAATTGGAAGAATGGGAATATGACTATAAGATTAACGTTGAGTAATACTGACACTGAGATTGAAATTGCAATTGAAATAAAGGACACATTGAACAATTTACTTCATTGACTTTTGACCTGTTCCATCGATCAGCAACTCTAAAGCTCGACGCCCTCCCGGAATTTGCCAAGGAGTACTGCTACGAGGTCGATGGCTGGATTATGCCCAAGTTCACGCCCAAACGATTCCTGGATGACCTCAAGAACTTTGAGGTGAAAGGTGACGACACATACCTCATCACGTGGCCAAAATCAGGTACATAATTTTGATTTTGATTTTTTTTTTTTTTCTTCATTTTATCCATTCATGCGAAGACGGCATTCCCATTCTATTTCGCTTTATCGCTATATTATTAGTAGTATTATGACTATTATTATTATTATTATCATTATTATTTTTAGTAGTAGTAGAAGTAGTACACTCTAAAAACTGAAATGTTAAATCACCATTTAAAAGGGCCGAGGAGTGACCACTCTTTCAAAATGGTAGATTAACACTTTGAACATGCTGGATCCAACACTATAAAGGTTGAATCTAGCAGGTTAAAAGAAACAATCTGACACTTTGAAAGAGTGGTCACTCCTCGGCCCTTTTAAATTGACATTTAACATTGCAGTTTTTAGAGTGTAGCAGCATCATTATTATTTGTGATATCCAGAGAACAACAAAAATGGGACTTTAGAAGATGAGATTTTAAAGATAAATTGTCATTTTCTCCCAAGTGAATCGCATCACTCATAGATAGGAGGCGGGGGGGGGGGTGGAATAAAAAAGGGTCGCCTTTGTCTAATGGGTGGGTCTCAAAAGATTATAGGATTTCACTCCAATAATAACGATGATAATAATAATAATAATGATAATATTGATAATAATAATAATTATAATGATGATAATAATAATAATGATGATGAATAATAATGATAATAATTTACCCATGCAGAGTAGCCTCATCAATATTATCTATATTCTCCCAGAGGGCCCTGCCTGCAATCTGAGATTCAGTTTTAGTAGTGCAACCTTCAACGTTTCTATAAATGGAAAGACATTAAAGAATTAACGTCGTCAAGTGTCTTGGTATTATTGATGAAGAATTGAATTGGTCCAAACACGTTGACAAAGTAACAAAAGTAACGCAAAGAAATATCAGAGTAATAAAACGAGCTAAGGACTATAATTTACCAATAACATCTTTAAATTTGCTGTATAATGCACTCGTATTGCCTCACTTTGATTATTGTTCCTCTGTGTGGTCAAATCGGTATCAGGAACAAACGGATAAACTCAAGAAAGTTAAAAAACGAGCTGCTAGAATAATTTCAAACAATAGTTACGAGACTCTATCCAGTAAATTGATTAGCAATCTGAAATGGATGCTAATTGAGAAACGTTTTGAATTTCAGCGTGTTAATGGCTCGGTGTAAAAATGTCAGAGGTAAAAATGTCAGAGGTAAAAATGTCAGAGGAAAAAATGTCAGAGGTAAAAATGTCAGAGGTAAAAATGTCAGAGGTAAAAATGTCAGAGGTAAAAATGTCAGAGGTAAAAATGTCAGAGGTAAAAATGTCAGAGGTAAAAATGTCAGAGGTATAAATGTTAGAGGTATAAAATAACAACAAAAGCATGTGACAAGTTTGTTAAATTTATTTACCTTTCGGCTCCAAATGATGACTTTTTGCCCAATTATTGTCGAAGGAAGACGAGGGGGGGGGGATATACTTCTTCTGGGGCTCGGTGACCCGGCTGCTCTCCCCCTTCCTCTTATATTATGCTTTGCTAATAAATCCTTCCGAACAGTGGTCAATGCCTAGGCAGAGCAGGTAGACTAATGGGACATGGTTTCTACTCCGAGTTTCGCGCCTTGCAAGCAATCATCAGGCAATTGATAGCATTCTTAAACATGATTATCCTACAACCTTGGTACAAATACCCCTAAAATAAGACTTAACTAATAAAATACAATTAAAATTACTCATGAGTAATTCTTATTATATTGTATTGTATATTTGTGTAATTATTAAATAAAAAGAAATGTCAGTACAGCCCCCAAAATAGGATCAGATATCTATGAACCTCCCCCCCCCCCCTCCCCCTCAGTTCTCCTTCACTTTTTTGTTGGACATTTTAACTGCGTGGCAATGACTACTATTATATGTAATTTCCAATAAATGCATATTTCCGACAATTCCACTTTCTTGTGGGCTTGGTATTTTGATACTCTGAAACAAAGCAGAAAGCCATTTTATCAATGCTAACCCATCAAATTCCCGAAGTGCGCGCGTTGCAATAAAATATTGTCGATTACTATTGCGATATAAAATAGTCTTGGAGAAAATCAATAAGCAGCTTTGTTACTCCGATATAAAGCAGAAAGCCGCCCATGTTACATCAATTGAAGAGAAAGTTGAGTTCTGGGGAAAGGTGAACAATAATTTGTGAGCGTTTGTTATCATTCTTATTATGCAAGTGTGGAAGAACATCAAAGAAAAAAGTTATTCCCTGAAAGTCTATTTCAAATGACTTCATATCCCAGATATGACAAGTAACAGCTTTAAAATGAGGCCCGATTTGAATGCCATATATTTGTGTAGTCCCATATCAATATCTTTCTGTGTACAGTGCTTGTTACTTTTAAGACTGGGCCAAAGTTTTTATCATTTTGATGACTCCAAAACCTTGCACTACACACCAATACTTACATGTTTATGCTAGATGATCAACCTTTTATGATTGCTTCCACACCGTTTCTTTCACAATGCAATCGCAAGACCAGAACTCAAATTTATCTTTAAATGCCAACCGCACCATCACATTCCAGAGAAGCGCGCGCTTTGCAGAGGTTCGGTTTAAGTTACATCGTCATTTATATAATGATGTGCAAAAAAGTTGATTGTGGATTACTATTGAGGTACAAATAGTCTGGGAGAACAGCAATGGGCATCAATTATTCCCTCGACATGAACGTATAGATATCAAAAAGGACAAGCGACATGCGATGGAGGTAATTGCATCAAATAAGGGTGGAATGAAGGTCATATAATGAGGGACATTATGTACACAAAAGTATTTGAGGTCATATATGTATATATTTTCTACATTGTATTATCCTCAGAACATGTACGAAATACAACACACAGCCATTTATAAAATTTACATTATGGAAGAAAGGAATATAATAGTAAAAAAAAATGAGTGCCGTCATAATATCTCAGCACTTTTATCACACAGAATGTCGAGACGTACAGCTACTGCATGGGCTAGTCTATTATATTCCTTTCTTCCATAATGTAAATTTTATAAAAGGCTGTTTTTCGATAAGCCTAATATACAGGTTTAACCTTAACAAACTTGTCACATGCTTTTGTTTTTATTTTATACCTCTAACATTTATACCTCTGACATTTTTACCTCTGACATTTTTACCTCTGACATTTTTACTTCTGACATTTTTTCCTCTGACATTTTTACACCGAGCCAGCTAGTTGTAGGCTGCCACCGGCCAAACCGGTCCGAGTCACAAACATTAACACATCAACCAATTCAAAATATCAAAAAATGTTAGACATTCATACATAATATATATGCAAGCCTGATCACAAAAAAATCTATTTCAAAATCTGTTTTCCACATTGTATTATCCTTAGGACATGTACGAAATACAACACACAGCCATTTATAAAATTTACATTATGGAAGAAAGGAATAAAATATACTAGCCCATGCAGTAGCAGTACGTCTCGACATTCTGTGTGATAAAAGTGCTGAGATATTATGGCGGCACTCATTTTTTTGCTTGTACCTCTAACATTTTTACCTCTGACATTTTTACCTCTGACATTTTTACCTCTGACATTTTTACCTCTGACATTTTTACCTCTGACATTTTTTCCTCTGACATTTTTACCTCTGACATTTTTACCTGGCACCGTGTTAATATGATGTACAAATGCACACATCATTTGGCGCCATCCTATTTACAAGAACATTGAATTACGGTAAGTAAAATTCATCAGCATAATACGAGGCAGGCAGTTGAAGGTTTACTTTCTGTGCCAAAGTATAAAACTATAAATATAGCCCCCTCGTTTCTTCAATTATAGCATGGAATCAGTTGGACAGATCATTGAGAACGACAGGCTCTGTGAACACAAATACATGTTCAAACAATCTTGCATTATCGAGTCCCAATAAGATAAAATGACAAGAGGAATTATTGTCTGTTTTCTTAGCACTGAATGTAGGACGATATAATACTTTTCAAACTTAATGAATGATTTCATATAATTTATCGTCAGATATAAATACATTTGTATTTTTAATTTTATTTAAGAGTGTACATCCAATTGCTATATTAGAATTCATGCATTATTTTTTCACATTTTCCAGTAAGTTACTATCCTGTAATATTTTGTGTTGCTGTTAATATGTATATAACAATTGAACTCCCAAATTAAAATTATGTTGCCTTTTTCAAGGTCTAATACTTACCGAAATATGCTAATAGTTACTTTTCATCGGATTTAAAAACTAATTACCGTCTATGTTTATCTTTTTTCTCTCTCTCTCGCTCTCTCTCTCTCCCTTTCCCTCTCTCTATCAATAGAAATGTTGATGAAACATGTCATTTAATAGCAGAGAATATGAGCCTTCCTCCTTAAACTTGATATCAAGCTGGAGATCCGGGTTTATATCAAATTTCTTTTAGTGCTTTTATCGAGAAGCTAAGCACATCATATTAAGTTTATATAAGGAAGTTCAAAATTGTTTCCCCCTTAAGTTTTTGTATTCTATTTTTGAAAGAAGTATTTTGATACAGAAATCAATGTTTAAAGCTCAATCAGGATTAATCATGTTTTGATTAACCCAAAGAGAAAATATCATAGTATGGAAATATCGGATGAAGAATAGTAAAAATTAATGTTTACTATTATTATGATGATCTCCAGAGTTTGTATTTTTCTTTTGACATCTAAGTTTTTCATGTAGGCCTATCATAATCCATTTAGATACTAATGTAGTTGAAGAGTTTTTTTTAGGGGTTCATATACTTAAAAAAAATAACTTGTCATGCGAAACCCGAGATAAAAGTTAAAACTCTAAATACCAATGTAAAGATGCTCACCTTATAGCCTAGAATAATATTTCTTTTTGACACGTTGACCAAATAATCTAGCCAAGGACAGCTGAACAATAGTGGTATTTCTCGTGCTTCACATTTGCCCCTACCCAGGTCTTCAATAAAATGGATGGTTAACCCAATATTTGGTTGAATGGTCTTCATTCAAATTAAATGCGCTCACACATAATAAAATGAACATCATTCATCCTAGACATGGGCAATTTTAGGGGATTTTGACATTTGTATTTCTTTGTCCAGTGCTCATTCACTAATGAGTCATCAAATGACAAAGACATTGGCATCATAAATTATATGTCAGTTATTTTATTATTTTTAGAATATTATGCTAGACGAATTTTGGGGTTGCTCATATTGATAATATATCCATTATTATTATAGGTTTTCCCGGCCAATTTCGTAAAAGCAGCAATCAATTTCATTAACGTGCATTCATGTTCGAGCAAATTTTCTCCAGTCGTTGCTCCCCTGTTTCATGTTTAAACTTGTTGCATTCAAATTCGTTTCGAGTCACCGAATTGTCTAAACATGCACATTCAAATTAAAACTTGGTTCAGTCAATTTGGAAATGCGTAAGGTTCATTCAATTTCGCCAATGTTGAGTGGGAGGTGAATTCTTTGGCGAATTGCGGTTTCATTTTCGTCTATGGGCAACCTCTTTCGCAATCGGGTCATTCAAATTAACACTAGACCTCATAATCATATGAATTATAGTATAAGGCTCGATGTTTATTCGGATATTCAGTATTTCATGTTCATTTATTTATTCTTTTTCTCTATGATCTTTCCTCACATGATTCACATTCTACAATCTTATTTGTCTGATATATTTATATTGCATTATATGTTTTCTCTTTCTTTCGACATTCTTTATTTTTGTTGAAACATCAGTTTCTCTATATTCATATCTTCATATTATAAATATAAAGGGGTTATTTTTTTAATGGTTTCTTTTGATCAATCTTGATTGAGTAGGTGATCTTTCTTTCTTTTCATTTAACATCTTTTTCTTTATTCAACATTGTTTCCATGTCTATTCAACCTAAACTCTACCTCTGTCCAAGATCTGTTTATATATAGCTTGTGCTTAGAAGAGAAGTCATAAATTGTGCACCTTCTCTGGGGACAGTTACCTGTGTAAAGACAGAACGAATACGCATGTCATTCTTCCAAGTAAACTTTGCGTAAAATTATTCAAACAGAAGTATATTAAGTGACAAATTAACATCAAATGAAAAGCAATGCACAAATGTCACATATTATGTATGCCTAATCACGAAATTAAATGCACGAAGACATACCACCGTCTGTCCGGCGCGAATTTGAATGCTCTTTGCACGCTTTTCTAAATTGAATGCTAGTTTTGCACGTCTCCGTGACAAGAGTATGAAATCGCATGCTACTAAATCAAATTGAATGACGCAATTAGCTTTTTGAATGTTGATCTACATAGTGATTCAATTTCGCACGAACTTGAATGAACGTAATGTTAATTCGGATGCTAGGTTTACGAAGTTCGGCGGGAAAACCTATATTAACATTATTGTTATCAATAATATCATTATTATTATAATTGTTATCATCATTTTAGCAATATTATCATCATTATTATAGTTATTACCATAAGTATTACCATTATTATTAATATTATTATTATTATTACTATTACAATTATTAGTATCATTATTATCATTATTATAATGATTAGTAGTAGTAGTAGTATTATCATCATTATTATTATCATCATTATTATTTTTTTCATTATTATTATTTGTTCTTAAATATACAGGAACCACTTGGATGCAGAACATTCTCACACTGATCTTTGCTAACGGAGACATAGATGCCGTCAGGAAGAAACACCTCTTCAAAAGGGTTCCTTTCCTCGAGATGCCGAAGGGATTTGACTATAAAAAGGTACAGTGGGTGAACATATTTACAGGGGCAAGAATATTATGAAAGGGGACAGTTGATCGACTTTTGAAAGAAAAACTTATACAGTTGTTGGGTTTTCGTTGACTAGTGGTAGTAGATGAGCCAGGCAAGGGTTCCCTCCTTCGAGATTCATGTCAATATATACAAAAGGTGATAATATTCACAGGCATGGGGGCATAAAAAGAAACATTCTAAAATGGGGAGGGGGTAGACTGTTTTTTTAAAGAAAAAGAAAAACACTTTGGACATCTAGATTAAAAATAAACAATAATAAAAGAATGCCCACAAAACTCACGAAATCAGAAACTTACAGGCACAGGCATACGAGAACAATTTCATAGGGGATTGGGCTGATGTCTCTTGCCCGAAAGTCAATTTAAAAAGAAGAAAAAAAACTTTTTCAAAGCGTGATAAATTATTGTTAAATATTTAACAGTGACGAAGTAGTTTTGTTATTGATATGAAGCACATTTAAACGACCTCTATGCATGAACAATATAAACTGGCGGTTGCCCGAATGTGAGACGACAAGTGTCTTTCTCGTCTCGAATGAATTTATAATTATGTCCGGCAATATAACATCATGGATTAATTATATTGCCCTTGGATGGCCTTTCTAGAGAGGTCTGATGGTATGATATGTGCAGGTGTTGAAGAATTAGCCTATAACAATCAGTGGCGTAAGGTGGGCCCAGTCATTGAGGGAATACTGGTTGATGGGGTCATATACGATATAACATGTTAATTAACAAGGCCATTGACTAGGGGGATCGAGAGGTGGAGGAAGTCCTATCATCTTCTTTTCACCTCCCTTTCATCTTCGTCGGGCTCTTCTTTCTTCTTCTTCTTCTTCTTCTTCTTCTTCTTCTTCTTCTTCTTCTTCTTCTTCTTCTTCTTCTTCTTCTTCTTCTTCTTCTTCTTTTACCTACTATCCCTCTTTCTTCTCTTTCTCACTCTCTTCTTCCCTCTCTATTTCCTATCTCTTTTGTCTGTTTCGATGAGGACCAGGGGCGGTACGTGACCACGGGTCCTCCTGTGACTACGCCATTAATTATTATAACAGTGTCAATGAACAGTTATCTTTTTTCCCCCATCAGGCTGAAGATGACACGGGCTTGTACGAAATTGCCAGGAATGTGCCCTCTCCCCGCCTGCTAAAGACCCAGCTACCGCCCCCCTTCCTTCCTACACAGATCCATGAAAAGAAACCAAAAGTATGTCACATTGAATCATATTTTGTTCCCTTCAAAAGTACATAATACTCATCACAATAGTGGTAAACAGTACAATTCAAAGCTATATTTATTTGCATAGAGTAGTAGTTGTAGTAGTTATAGAAGTAGAAGTAGTAGTAGAAGTAGTAGTAGTAGTAGTAGTAGTAGTAGTAGTAGTAGTAGTAGTAGTAGTAGAAGTAGTAGCAGGAGAAGTAGCAGTAGTGGTAGAAGTAGTAGTAGTGATTGTAGTAGTATAAGTATAGTAGTAGTAGTAGTAGTAGTAGTTGTAGTAGTAGTAGAAAATAGTCGACCATATAACTGTATGTTGTTTAGTTTTAAAAAAAACACCGTATCAATCTCTAACAAAAACATTTTAAATTGTATTTAAAATAATAAAGATAATGATAATGATGCAGATAATAATAATATCAATGATAATAACAATGATAATGATAACAATACTAATAGATAATACATGTAATAGAAATAGTAATAATATCTTCTGTCAATACACCACCCTATAGATCGTATATGTAGCAAGGAATCCCAAAGATGCAGCCGTATCATACTTCCATTTCTGTAACGTATCGACCAACCTGCCCCAATACAGAGACTGGAATGATTTCTTCATTGATTTCTGCAACGATTCCAGTAAGTTTCTATTTATATTTTGTATGGTTTTGTTCATTGTGTGTTTGTTTTATTTTGTGTTTTTTATAGCTTGGTGGCCCAGAATATGAGATGCGGGGGAGCGAGGCATAGGAACAATAGGACGAACGAACAATACTCGCCTCCTTTCAAATGATTATCTTAATCGATAAATATATGGTCAATGTAAGGTAACACCATAATGATAATCATTCAAAATCTCTGCTTGGTTCTTGTTACCCCCCCCCCCCCCCCGCCCCCGTTTAATTTTCTCTTCTCTCTCTCTCTCTCTCTCTCTCTCTCAAACTCTCAAACTCTTTCTCAAACTTTCTCTCTATCAAACTTTCTCTCTATCAAACTCTCTCAAACTCTCTTTTTTAAATTCTCGCTATCGCTTTGCCTCTCTCTTTCTCTCTGTCCCCTCTTCACCATCCCCCTCTCTCCTTTCTCTACCTCTGCTCATCTCTATCCACTCCCGCCTTCCCTCTCTTCCTCTCTCTATCTCGCTCTCTCTCCCTTTCTCTCTCCAGTTCCCCGTGGATCCTGGTTTGAAAACGTCCTCTACTGGTGGAATAAGCGGGATGAATCCAACGTCTTTTTCATCACGTATGAAGAAATGAAACAAGTGAGTAGGACAAGAAAGAAGAAGGAGAAGAAGAGAAGAAGAAGGAGAAAAAGAAAAGCAAGAAGAAGAAGAAGTGTGGCTTCCCAAAAAAAGAAGTGTGGCCAAAAAAAAGAAGAAGAAAAAGAAGAGGAAGAATATGGAGAAGGAGAAAGAAAAGAAAGAAAGAAATAAGATACATCAGTCACCTTCGACATTCACATGACGAACACAAGGCCCAAGGAAAGAAAATGATATCATCTTGAAAGAGTTGCAAAGAACCAGTCGCTCACGCTGACGAGACCGACCCCAGACCGACAACAGATTGAAAGAAAAAAGACTAAAAATTAATGATTTTGATTTTTAAGTCTCTTCACAAAATATGTCATCTTTTGTCGAATTGCGGGAATACCTTCAATATTTCCTTTCTTAACATATTCTCAAACATTTACGTTCAATTAACAGGATCTTCGAGGCTCCGTCGTTCGGGTTTGTGATTTCCTTGGCAAAGAGCTTTCGGATGACATCATCGACGTAATCACCGAAAACTCGACCTTCAACGCCATGAAGAAAGACCCGACGGCCAATCCCGACTCGCTGCCATTCTTCAAAGAAGCAGTGAAACTGAAGAGATCTTTCCTAAGAAAAGGTTGGTTGAAATATTGACAAGGGAATTGACATCAATTCATAAATTTGAATTCAATGTATTGATTAAAATCTCAACATGACGGCTCATTCTCAATTTACAGATCCCAAAGGATATCGAAAATGTATAGATGTCAGGTCAAAATGACAGTTCATACAAACCGAACACGTTATAGTGCCAAATTACACTATTTTCAGACTATTCTCTGTGAGATAGAGGGAAAGAGAAAGAGAGAGAGGGGGAGAGAGGGATGGAGAGATGGAAAGAGAGAGAGAGATGGAGAGAGAGAGAGAGAGGGAGATAGAGAGAGGGGAGAGAGAGAGGGAGAGAAAGAGAGAGAGAGAGGTAGAGAGGTAGAGAGAGAGAGAGAGAGAGAGAGAGAGGTAGAGGGATAGAAAAAGAAGGAGTTGAACTTTGATCTGAATCAGGGGGAGGGTTATAGTTGGCTTCGGAATAAAATAAAATACACCCTGCAGTTCGTTAACAACAAGGTTTTTCACTTTGTCAGTACCCAATTTGCTCTAAAGCATTTAACACCCCCCCCCCCTCCCCAAAAAAAAAATAAATAAATAAAAAAAATCTACAATTTGCAATGGTAGCACAGAAACGATCAAAGGAGGTCATGCACGATTGTGTTTGGATTTTTGTTTGGGGGGCGTTAATGTGCCCAACTTAATGTGCTAACTATGACACTGTAGGATATTCATCATAATTACACAAATCTATCTATCATTTACAAATATATATTTTCTTTTCTATTCCATTTTCCTGCTTAGGAGAGGTTGGCGACTGGAAAAATCATTTTACCGTAGCCCAGAATATAATCTTTGATGACTTATATCGTGGAAAAACCAATGGCTCTGGCATGAATTTTACCTTTGAACTTTAGCCTCTATCACCAGTTTCTCCGATGAAAAAGGTGCGATTTGTCGATTCAACAGTCATCAGTCCATTACAAAAGACAGCTTCAGTTGGAACAACCGCAGAATACCCTACCACTCAAATATCCATAACCCTATTTCCGACCTTTACCACGATCCCGGGGCCTGACTCTCGCCCTAATCCTAGCCGTAATCCTAATCCTAATCCAACTCAATCCTAACCTACATACTATCCTAACACTAACCCTGTTCCTAATGCTAACCCTAACCTTAATCCTAACACTGACTCTAATTCTAACAATACTCATAATCCTAAAAAAAAAATATAAAAAAATAAATATTATTATTATTATTATTATCCTAACCCTTATCCTAATCCTGGCCAGAAAACTTCTCAGTGAGCGGAGTTTGTGCGGATTATCAATTGAATCCAGTAATGGGATATCAATCAATACATTATAAAGCGTTACATTACATATGTGACTATTTATTTAATATGTTCCTATTTTTAGCACCAACCCGTACCCTAAATTTTAAATGATGTATGGTGGTGGTAAATAGGGGGGGGGTGGGGGGGGGGGGGGGGAGGGGGGGGGTGAGGGAGGTATATTTCAGTTTAAACTGAAAGCTTGATATATTCAACTTTCACGCGGCATGGTCGTCTTCATATGCAGCCAAAATGGTCTTAAAGTCAAGTGACAACATTGTGATTTATGTATTTCCATTTTTATGAAGAAAATATCTGATTTTTTCGTGATTGAACAACAAATATGACGTTTGCAATATCCAATGTTTTAAAAGTGTATTTATTATTCTTTTTGCAGAAAGTGATAGATTTATTTTATTTCTTTTATCATAAATAATGTTCTAGTTTGATTGAAGCTCTGTATTAATCAAATCTGTCAACATAATAGTGTAAAACCAGGAATATGGTGTAGCTGTAAACAAAATATATAATTAAAAAAAATAATAATGACGTCACGACCCAAAAATATTCATATCTGAAACTCTGTTAAATGATATTTATGGCGCTCGTTTCCTTTTTCTAGGAAGCTTTTGAATAATTTGTTGGTACTATCACTTTAATAACAATCATGGTATTTAACGAAGGAAGTAATGGTATCTGTAAGTCGTCATTGTCTCTTTTGACCTTTCCAGTGTTCACTATACTATATACGTGTTGTAACAGGTTTTCAAATTACGGATTTATAATTGTATTATTATTCTGCTACTTTTTGGTAATCCAAGTTTTTCTTTTTTCATGTCAAATTATGTTTGTCATTATCTTAAGGGATCCACATTTTTCAAGCTCTGCTTTTCAGTGCTTTTTCCCTCCAATTCCACAGGTTTATCTTTAAAAAACTTTTTTAAAACTCTAATACTGGATATCTATGTATACTTTCTATTTTATAACTTTAAACCATGTAAAATATATTATATTATTAAATATTGAATTGTATATCTGATTTCTTGTCAAAATTACTGTTCTGTTGGAAATGAAAAATAAAACTGAAACTGAAAACTGAATATAGTAACGAACCAGACAGAACTGGTTAGGACATGGTGCAAAGCCAGACAGAACTGGTTAGGACATAATTGTGTGCAAAGTCAGACAGCGGAGTGTAGACATACCAAGCAAGGGAAATCAATTCTCCCTAGCCGCCATCTTAAAAATGGGATGACAATTAATACTTGTTAAACATGTACAAATCAATCCATAAAACTCGTAAAACGTTATTACATGCAACAGTTAAAAATCATGACATTTGGTCTCTACAAAGTGTTGTAAGTGTGTGTTTTTACAGGAAAATTGCACAAGTGGCTTTGATGGAAGGGGGGTTGGGTCCCTGTTTTTAAAAAAAAAAATTAAAAACAATTTTGTTTTATTTCTCCAAATGTGTAATATAAACCATAACATACAATTGAATAACATAAACGTGTTCAATATTGATGCTTTTACATAAACATAATTAAACACAAACTTATTTGCAGTATATATAACTTAGCAACAAAATAAACGTATAAGTACCTGAACATAATATGTCAATTGTAAATGTTATTCACTTATATAAAAAAACTTAAACAAATCTGGAGGTAATTTTACTGGAACAATCCTGCCCCCCTCCCTGCCCCCCTCCATCACACAAACATACTCACCCACCCACACACATACCTACCCCCCCCCCCCCATCCCCCCCACACACCCACACTACTCACTCAGTGGATGTCTGCTAACATTCTCAACTCAAGAACAATATACTAAATAAGTTATCCAGGCCGCAAAATAGAGTTACCCTTTTAACAGGCTCACGGTGGAGAAGAAAACAAATCTTAATTAATCTTAAGCTGCTCCCACTTTAAGAAATGTGATCCCAGCTTTCCCATTTTAATTGCTATTTTCTTTTGCACATCCCTATACTTAAAAATGCTTTTTTTCATCTTTTCTAAAGTTGGTACTCGCCCCCCCCCCCCGATCTTGACATAAATGTAACATACTTCACCATGAACATGATAGTATTACACATTTTTATTCTATATGAACTACCTACCAACCCAACAAATATATCTCGCCATTCTAAACGTTTAATTTCATCTAACTCAAAAAGTTGTATTAAAGCATGTAATATCCTTTGAACGCTCCCGCAAGATAAAAATAAATGTTTGTATGTTTCTATTTTCTGCTTACAAAACGAACATAAATTATCACCTACAAAACCAAATCTATGAAGATGCTCATTTATGGCTCCATGCAATAATTTAAATTGAAATTCTCGTTGTTTTCTAATGAGTATAGTAATTTTTGGTCTAACAAATATTTCTTTTAATTCTTTATCTATAAAATCATAATCATTTTGCCCATCCTGCAAATCATACATTTGTTGCAGTGCTTTGATAAAATAATCATAAATTGTTCTTGAACCCACATCCACAAACTGTATTTTTTTACTAGAAATATGGAAATAAGTATTAAAGCTTATCAAATCAACCTCGAGGAATTGTTCATACCCTTGATCCGCCCCCTAGACTCCTCTCCCTCACTCACGCACGTTATTTCGCATGTCCAATTAGAAGCATAAACGAGTATGACGTCACTTCCTCAACTCATTCGCATTGGTCAACCACATACCTACATACACACATACACACACGCACACACACGATTATACATTAGAGGGAAAGCCTAGTGGTTGGTCATTCGGTCGTTTGAACACAGTCACATAAACACGTAACATGACCCATATTTAATTCAGTTCAATTTATTATTTCCAAAATTCGATAAAACATGACGCTAAGAACATACAAAACGACCAATAAGCATAGCTATAATAAAATATATAGTAAAACATTACCACAGATAGAAAAACCAATACAAAATTGTGGGATCAAAATATGTTTATCCATGAATCGTGTGAAGAAAAGGAACATCATCCCTTCCTCATGTGCAGGGGCGGCGATTTCTTTTCATGACCAGAGGGGGGTGGACGAAATTCGAGGGACGAGGGAGCATAGTGTAAGCTGTGCTTATCTTAATACCAACGAATACAGATTTTCCACAATATTTACTTGTACATTTTGAAGGTTTTTTATGCGACCGAGCGAGAATTAAGACTTTTGCATTTTTATTAGTCTAAACGCTGCACTCTTAGGCCCTCCAAAGCCTAATATGGTGTTGCAGTATTTAGTCAGTATTTGCAATACATTTTTTTGTACACGTTTTCAAATTTTCCGGGGGATGCCCCCCCCCCCTCCAAAAAAAAGGGGGCGTGTCGCCCCCGGTCCCCCTAGGTCGCCACCCCTGCTCAGGAGGGATTCCCCCATCCCACTTCCATGGTCCATATGCCCTCAATCTTCCATGATTATGTAAACAAAGAAAACAACATATTCCTTTCCAAAGGAGGGATACCCTCATTATCTTTTACAACCCTTCCCTATTGTTTTATCGGAAGTGGTACCAGTTTAATTACGTCAATAATAACCATTGATCCCTCGATCCCATTATATTTATACCGGGCCACTTCATGCTGCTCGAGTCCGTTGATATATGTGTACATTGTGTATCACATGAATAATTATGAAGTATTGGCCCTGCATTGTTGATAATAAAACATGACCTGTTTTTTTTTCTTCTTCTTTTCTACCTATTTTGCTTTGGTTTGTAGTACCTAGTATACCTACACAACTGTTTTATACTATTACTCACTTTGCTAGTAATCATGATTGTTAATGAAGTGATATTGAAAAAATGTACATACAAAAAGTAAATGTGCAACAAAATTCACATACAGTATATGGATAGAAATACATAAACCATCTCCACCATGCACCATTAAAATGATAGTGCTAAAAAGAGGAATAAAATAATAGTCACATTTGTATATGTTTCCCAGTTACTAGATTTAATGGATAATCCACACATACTCCGCTCACTGAGAAGTTTTCTGGCCAGGATTAAGGTTAGGGTTAGCGTTAGGAACAGGGTTAGTGTTAGGATAGTATGTAGGTTAGGATTGGGTTGGATTAGGATTGAGTTGGATTAGGATTAGGATTAGGGCGAGAGTCAGGCCCCGGGATCGTGGTAAAGGTCGGAAATAATGTTATGGATATTCGAGTGGTAGGGTATTCTGCAGTTGTTCCAACTGAAGCTCTCTTCTGAAATGGACTGATGACTGTTGAATCGACAATCGCTAACTTTTCATCGGGGAAACTGGTGATGGAGGCTAAAGTTCAAAGGTAAAATTCATGCCAGAGCCATTGGTTTTTCCACGATATAAGTCATCAAAGATTATATTCTGGGCTACGGTAAAATGATTTTTCCAGTCGCCAACCTCTCCTAAACAGGAAAAAAAGAATGGAAAAGAAAATATATATTTGTGAATGATAGATAGATTTGTGTGATTATGATGAAGACCCTACAATGTTATTCTATTGACATTGGGACATTAACGTGCCCCCCCCCCCAAAAAAAAAAAAAAATGTGTACTGAAATAAGTGAAAACCATTCTTGTAAACACATTGCATGTTGTCTTTTTTTCTTTCCGAAGCCAACTATAAACCCCCACCCCTGTATTCAGATCAAATGGCAACTCTCTCTTTCTCTCTCACTCTCTCCCTCTCTTTCTCTCTTTTCCTCTATCTCACAGAGAAATATCCCGGTCGCGAATCTACAGCCCTCTATAGCTAGCTTAACGACAGGGGGTCACCGGGGGGGGGGGCTGTGGTCACTCACACAATTTAGAGAAATGTTATCCCTTTACGCTCTCCTTCTTCTCCACTATCTGTAAACAATATATCCATTTAACCTCCACCCCCCCCCCCCCCTGCCTGCTACGGTATGTGGCCGAAGGAATACTGCGGCGCACAGTGGGCCAGGGAGGGACCAAAGTGCGCCAAAACTAAGTTTGGGTGATTTATTTTTTTCAATTTTTTTCTTGCCCAGTTGAAAGGTAATACATAGAGGAATACCTCAGTGAAATATTTAATTCCGGTATGCACAATAAGGGTATAAATTTACTATTTCAAACAGCAAAATCCTACATATTCACAGTTTTAGTGCAAAAGTGACTTATTTTATAAATCTTTCAATTCAACATGAAGTTTTTAAGATGTTGATATGAAATTGCTCTCACATATTCCTGATAGTTCATTTCGTTGAATGAATGGGTTAAAATTTATAGAAACACAATCTTCATGATATATTATAGGGTAATTCACTGAAAAATTGGCTAATTATCCATGTTTTTTATAAATCCAAAAGAAATGTTTAGATCTCCGCGGTGTACCGCTTAAATTTTAATACCACCCTTTCCTCTGATGTCTAAGCTTCAAGTTGATACCAAATTTGGCTGCCCGATTTTGCCCGTTGTTATGTTAGAGCCGATTTCCCTTGCCACATTGCCCCGAAAAAGTGGGTTTTGGGAGTCCGCGGATGAATCATGAAGGATTCGTAGTCATAAATCACGGCGCGAGGGGGCGCGTGACACTTGTTCTGACACCAAATAAACACCAAAATAAACACATTTTTCGGGGCAATGTTGCAAGGAAAACAGCTCTAACATAATAACGGGCAGAATCGGGCAGCCAAATCTTGTATCAACTTAAAGCTTAGACATCAGAGAAAATGTTGGTAATACAATTTAAGCGAAAATCCCTGAAAATCCAAACATTTCCTCTGGATTTATAAAAAAGAAATCCCCAAACATGAGTTTTGGCGCACTTTGGTTCCTCCCTGGCCCACTGTGCGGCGGCCCAATAATTGCTATTGGCAGTAAATATTTTAGTCCCAATGGCCGTCGCGGCAATTTCGAATTCGAATTTATGAATTGATTTCATTACCCCTTTCGCTATTTCAACCTACCTTTTCTTAGGAAAGATCTCTTCTGTTTCGCCGCTTCTTTGAAGACCAACAGCGAGTCAGGATTGGCCGTCGGGTCTTTCTTCATGGCGTTGAAGGTCGAGTTCTCGGTGATAACGTCGATGATGTCATCCGAAAGCTCTTTGCCAAGGAAATCACAAACTCGAACGACGGAGCCTCGAAGATCCTGTAAATTTAACGAAAATATTAATATGTTAAGAAAGGAAATATTGAAGGTAGTCCCTTAATTCGACAAAACATGACATACACTTTACATTTCATTACGAAAGGGGTATAGAAGATGATTGATTGATTTTTATTGATTGATTTTTATTCGACAAGCTTCCAACATACAACAATATACAATAATAACAGATCAGAAATAAGTCAGCTTGAACAAGATAACCCACGAAAGCTCGAGAGCTTATTTCCAGTGGGGTCCCTTACAGACATGTATAAAATTAATAAGTTGAAATAGTAATATTTACAGACAGATAAGAAAAATAAAAGACTTACTTATAATAATGATAATAATGATAATAATAACAACATTAAACTGATGATAGAAAATAATAAGTACAAGAAGAAAAAGATATTAGACCGAAATGTGAAAAGCATAGCGATAGCGATAACAAAACGATAACGAATAAGAAAGAGATATTTCTTTAAACAAACATGATCTACTTAAAATTGGACTCATTTGAGCCATGTATTTTTTCGTTCAATCTGTTGTCGGTCTGGGGTCGGTCTCGGGGTCTCGGGGTCGGTCTCGTCACGATAGTACATCACTCACAATCTCACACCACTAAACCAACCCCTAAATATTTCCAGATCGACTGGTTCTTTGCAACTCTTTTGTGATTATGCCATCTTTTTACATCGGCCAGGTATTGATCGTGTAAATGTCGCAGGAGACTGGTGTTTCCCATCTCTTCTTCTTCTTCTGCTTCTTCTACTTCTTCTTCTTCATCTTCTTCTTCTTCTTCTTCTTCTTCTTCTTCTTCTTAATATTCTTCTTCTTCTTCTTCTTCTTCTTCTTCTTCTTCTCCTTCTTCTTCTTTTTCTTCTTCTTAATATTCTTCTTCTTCTTCTCCTCCTCCTTCTTCTTCTTCTTCTTCTTCTTCTTCTTAATATTCGTCTTCTTCTTCTTCTTAATATTCTTCTTCTTCTTCTCCTCCTCCTTCTTCTTCTTCTTCTTCTTCTTCTTCTTCTTCTTCTTTTTCTTCTTCTTAATATTCTTCTTCTTCTTCTCCTCCTCCTTCTTCTTCTTCTTCTTCTTCTTCTTCTTCTTCTTAATATTCGTCTTCTCCTTCTTCTTCTTCTTAATATTCTTCTTCTTCTTCTTCTCCTCCTCCTCCTCCTCCTTCTTCTTCTTCTTCTTCTTCTTCTTCTTAATATTCTTCTTTTTCTTCTTCTTTTTATTTCTTGTCCTACTCACTTGTTTCATTTCTTCATATGTGATGAAAAGGACGTTGGATTCATGCCTCTTATTCCACCAGTAGAGTACGTTTTCAAACCAGGATCCACGGGGAACTGGATATAGAGAGGGAGTAGAGAAAGAGAGGATGGACAAAGAGAGAGGTGGAGAGGATGGGGAGTGCAGATGGAGGCAGGGAGAGAGTGGGTGGGAGAGAAGAGGGAACAGGGATAAAGAAAGAGACGGAGAGACAGAAGGAAACAAATGAGATTTGGAATCATTATGATGTTTACCTTACAGTGACCATAGAAATATTGATTAGGATAATAATTGATAGAAAGAGAGCATTGTTCTTACCAAAAGTGCTTTCATCATTAAGTACCTATTAATACCAATGAACAAACTTTCGTATGATTCGATCCCACGCATCCCATATTCTAGGGCACCAAGCTACAACAAACAAAACAAAGCAAACACACAACAAACAAACTAACCCACATAAATATAAATGGAAACTTACTGGAATCGTTGCAGAAATCAATGAAGAAATCATTCCAGTCTCTGTATTGGGGCAGGTTGGGCGATACGTTACAGAAATGGAAGTATGATACGGCTGCATCTTTGGGATTCCTCGCTACGTATACGATCTATAGGGTGATATATTGACAGGAAATAATTGTTATTTTTGTTATTTTATTTCATCCATTAGTATTGACATTATTATTATTAATATCACTATTATCATCATTATGATTATTTTTTAATACAAGTTAAATTTTTATTGTTGGAGATTGATACTGTGTGCTTTTTGACTAAAACAAAATACAATTTTTGGGTCAACTATTTCGACCACTGCTACTACTACAACTGCTACTACTACTATTACTACTACTACTGGTAGTACTACTGTCACGGAAAAACGACAATTAATCTTACTGGTTTTAGGTCTCGGCTCAAAGAGGCTTTATTCATGGTGTAACTGAAATCCAAACACCAAAGGTGACAACTACTATTACTACTACTACTACTACTACTACTACTACTACTACTACTACTACTACTAGAAGAAGTAGTTGTACTACTACAACTACAACTAATATTAGTACCACTACTACTACTGCAGAAAATAAACGTCATTTTGAATTGTACAGCTACCACTATTGTGATAAGTAATATATAGTTTTGAAGGGAACAAAATATGATTCAATGTGACATACTTTTGGTTTCTTTTCATGGATCTGTGTAGGAAGGAAGGGGGGCGGTAGCTGGGTCTTTAGCAGGCGGGGAGAGGGCACATTCCTGGCAATTTCGTACAAGCCCGTGTCATCTTCAGCCTGATGGGGGGAAAAAGATAACTGTTCATTGACACTGTTATAATAATTAATGGCGTAGTCACAGGAGGACACGTGGTCACGTACCGCCCCTGGTCCTCATCGAAACAGACAAAAGAGATAGGAAATAGAGAGGGAAGAAGAGAGTGAGAAAGAGAAGAAAGAGGGATAGTAGGAAGAAGAAGAAGAAGAAGAAGAAGAAGAAGAAGAAGAAGAAGAAGAAGAAGAAGACGAAAGGGAGGTGAAAAGAAGATGATAGGACTTCCTACATCTCTCGACCCCCCCCCCCTAGTCGATGGCCTTGTTAAATTAACATTTTATAGCGTATGCCCCCATCAACAAATGACTGGGCCCACCTTATGCCACTGATTGTTATAGGCTAATTCTTCAATATCTGAAAAGATTATCCAATCAGACCTCTCTAGAAAGGCCATCCAAGGGCAATATTATCAATCTATGATGTCATGTTGCCAGACGTAATTATAAATTCATTACCATCTGCAGACGAGAAAGCCAATCGTCGCCTCACATTAAGGTAACCGTCACTTTATATTATTCATGCATACAGGTCGTTAAAATGTATTTTACACAATAACAAAACTACATTGTCACTATAAAATATTTAAAAATTGATCACGCTTCAAAAAAAAAGTCGTTAAACTGGACATTCGGGCAAGAGACGTCAGACCCCGACCCCGATTGTGCTCGTTTGCCTGTGTATGGAAGTTTCTGATTTCGTGAATTTTGTGGGCATTTTTTTTTGTTGGAGCTTGATGTCCAAGGTGTTTTGTTTTCCCTTTTGAAAATACGCCCCCCCCCCCCATTTTAGAATGTTTCTTTATTATGCACCCGGCCTGTGGATATCATCACCTTTTGGTATGCATCTCGAAGAAGAGAACCCTTGAATGTTTTACCCACAGTTTTTCTTTCAAAAGTCGGTCAACTTTTCCCTTCCACCGTATTTCTTTTCTACCTTTTTGGTAATCAGAGCCTTGACACAATTCGAAGAAGGGGACTCTGACTCTATCATGACTTATCCACAACTATATATGTTTTTCTATCAAAATTTTGGTCAGTGATCCAATTCAAAGTATCCTTTCTAAGTTTCTAAGCCCCTGTGAATATGTTCACTTATTGTACCGTTTTATAGTCAAATCCCTTCGGCATCTCGAGGAAAGGAACCCTTTTGAAGAGGTGTTTCTCCCTGACGGCATCCATGTCTCCTTTAGCGAAGATCAGTGTGAGAATGTTCTGCATCCAAGTGGTTCCTGTATATTTAAGAACAAATAATAATGATGAAAATATTAATCATGATGATGACAATAATGATGATAATAAAAATGATGATACTAATAATGATAGTAATGGTAATGATAACAATAACAATAATAATGATAATAATAATATTAATATTCTATCATCAATATTATGATGATGAGGTGATTATTATTATCATTATCACCATTATAGAAGTAAAATCCTGTGATATTTCGAAACCCACCCATTCAAAAAGGCGACCTTTAACAAAAATTGCCCTGTCCCTCTCCCATACATTGCCCCCCCCCCCTGCTCCCATCTCAGTGTGATGCAATTCACTTGGGAGAAAATGACAATTTATCTTTATAATATCATATTTTAAAGTACCATTATCACAATAATAATGATGCTACTACTACTTCTACTGCTACTGCTACTACTACTACTACTACTACTACTACGACTACTACTACTAATAATACTACTACTACTACCAGGGGCGGATCCAACCGGCGGCGAGGGAGGGGGCCCAATTCGTGAGAAAATATTTTTAGCGGCGACTTAGCCGACCGGCCAAAATAAGCGGGGGGGGGGGGGTATGGAGCGCTATGTTTTGTTTTACTCGACACCCCCCCCCCCCCCTTGAGCGCCGGGGGATGGGGTCCGTCTTCTTTCTTTTTTTATTAAAGATAAAATTAACATGAACTGTTAGAACGGTGTTTAAAATATCACTGTTTAAAAGAATGTTGTTTAAAAACGTAAACAACGTTGTTCAAAATCGAAAAATCAGTGCTCAATTGGCTTAAACAACTATCTATTAAAAAACCAACAAATTTAATTAAACAGAGTTGTTTAAAAAGTCCCGGGGGCGTCGTTGATATTTTCTCGATACGCGATTGCAATTTGCGCACACACATGCGATATGCACAAAGTCAAAGTACGTACATAATACATGCATGTAAGCATGCAGTGCTAGTGTGCAGTGCAAGTGCTAGTGCAGTGCAGACGAAAATGGCGGAACAAGGGCAAGGCGACGACTTGGTTCTTCTCGGCTTCGCCGATGGGGTTTAGGTGAAGTTATAGAGACAAATAATAATGTTGTCTTTCACTGCCATGAATATGATGAACAAATGTTGAAGTAAATTGGCAACAAGCTCTGCATGTTACAGTGTATAAATCGTTGTGATTATTGCAGGAGTGGTTCCAGTAGGTCATTTCACAAATTCAAACAACCAGATAATAACCATTAAACAGTTCTGTTTAAAATTTAAGCAACTCCTTTTAAACAACCCAGTTGTGCAGAAATACTGAATAAACAACAGTTGCTTAGTAATTTAAACATTATTGTTTAAAATTTAAACAACTTGCTTTAAACAACCGAGTTGTGCAATTTTATTACTAAACAACTGTTGTTTAAAAGGTTTCCTAATTTTTAAACAACTAAGTGTTCAAAATGTAAACAACCTTAATTTGTTTAATTTATAAACAACAGTTGAGCGATTCACCGGTTAACTTTGGGTTGTTTAAAATTTTAAACAACTTGTTTAATTTTTTTCTAACAGTGTAACCATCTATTTTTTAAACCTATTTTGGGGGCCAGGCTACTACTACTACTACTTCTGATAATAATATTTGTAGTAATAATAATGATGATAACAATGATAATAATAATAATAATGACAATAATAATGATGATGATTATAATACTACGTGTAGTAATAATAATAATAATAATTCTGGATTTGTCGCGCCTCATACTCCAATGATGTTTCTACGAGGTCATATTTCAATGTAGCGAAATAGGATGCGATTGCCGTCTTTGCATGAATGAACAGAACTATTATTATTTTTTTAATCAATATCATGTACCTGATTTTGGCCACGTGATGAGGTATGTGTCGTCACCTTTCACCTCAAAGTTCTTGAGGTCATCCAGGAATCGTTTAGGCGTGAACTTGGGCATGATCCAGCCATCGACCTCGTGGCAGTACTCCTTGGCAAATTCCGGGAGGGTGTCGAGCTTTGGAGTTTCTGATTGATGGAACAGGTCAAAAATCAATGAAGTAAATTGTTCAATGTGTCGTTTTTTTTAATTGAAATTTCAAATCTCAGTGTCAATATTAATCTCAATCTCAATCTCGGAGTCATATTCCCGTTCTTTCAATTTCAATTTCACTTTCAATGTCAGTCTCAGATTTAATTTCAATTTTAATTTTAATCTCAATCTTAACATTATAGTCTCATTCTTAATTCTTTCAATTTCACTTTCAATGTCAGTCTCAGTTTTAATTTCAATTTCAATTTCAATCTCAATATTATAGTCTCATTCTTAATTTCAGTCTCAGGTTCAATTTCAACTTACATGGACATTTACATTCACATTTCAATGTAGATTTAAACCAAATTAACTCCAAAATATACAGACTGAGATTTTTAAAAAAAATATTTACGCTTTGAAATTAACGAATCATAATTATGGACGATACACTGGGTTTGAAGATGTGATCCACAAAATCGTATTTTAATTGCATGAAAATATTCCTCCATTTAAGATTTGACTAATTTTGTCGATATTTTATTCCAAACGTGGGAAATGATTAATTGGACAAGAAACACAGGTATAGAACTTCCAAAATAAGGTAACCGATAGAAGGGTTGCACAGTCTAATTATCGGTTTAGTTTTCAAGCCCAGCCATTCCCTGTCGACAATTATCTCTGTATCTCTGTTCTTCATTAAATAAAAAGCACAACTTTATTCTACTTTCTTCTCCACTTCGTCTTCCCCCAAGAAAATGAATTACACTTACCTGACATATTGAAAATCCTTGTTGTGTTTTAGGCGGGAAATTGATCTGAAGAAGAAAAAAAACGGATTAAAGATCATAAGGCAAATATGAACGCCGACTTTTCCCAAAGAAAAAACACAGTATACCAACCTAACCGAACCCTATATTGAACCCTTAACATATCATAATTCACCTTACCGAACACCGAACCGTACCGAATCCTATATTTAACCCTCATATCCTAAATCCCACCAGCAATACAAACCCTTATCCTATATCTTTGACAATTTTTTTTTTTAAAAGTCCGAAGCAAATATCTTGTCGCATCATACCTGAATTGCAATAGATGAATATGAAAATAATCACCATAATCACAATCGCTTGTGGAAGTATATAAATCATTATTATTTCATTATCGTAAATTTTGTGACGACACACGATTAAAATATCATTTAAAAAAAGTAATTAAATACTTACAGAAAAATCCTGAAAAATGTGGCGTCCGACGTAGAGCTGTGCAGGAATGTGAATGATACCACTTCCAATTTCAATTTAAACTTTTATTTCTTGTAACGAAATAGTTCTTGTAACATAATCGTTGATGTGAATCTGATGGTACTGTATTAAAGTCTTTCAACGAGTCAGAACAGACTACCTCTATAATTAATAAGGTAGCAACACATTCGTAGAGTTTATGCAGGTATTATGGCGGACATAACATCCAGTAAAAATCGTCTTTCCTGTTCGAGACAAATATACTGGTATTTTTTTTGGACTATTTTTCTTTATTCTTCACAAACCCCAAAGCGTTTTATGGGAATTTGTGAAGGACTCAAGCCTAGTTCTACAAGGTCTGACAACGTCCATTTACACAGAACATCTTAGTTACTGACGATATGTTTTCAAGATAATTTTAATCATAACTTTTAGCCCAAAGAACCATCAAATTCTTGATTTTTATATATTAAAAAATAGCTTGGCCCTAAATAATCACCCAATGAAGCCCATACGGTTTGACCACTTAATCTACTTCAACCTTTTAAGACGTTGACAAAAACTATGTCAAGACTATGACTATGGGCGTCGGGCCTACACCAAAGAGTTCCCGAAATTATACATTCTAACAAGCATATCCACAGCCTGGGTTCTTAAAAATCCACATTGTTTATTGGAGCTTCTCCCGAAACAATTAAGTTTCTGGTGCCGTTATAGCTTATCATCGAATCTATTGACCAAAATGCGTGAGCATAACATAGTGACAAATTAATTAATTATTCCACGCGAATAATTATTAGGATCTCTGTCCAGTAGTGCCGTGTTTGTGCCATCGAACTGGATCGACCAAATTAATTGATTCATAATATTTATATGCAATATTTTTTCCCGTAACATGAGAGTAATTTTAATAGTTTCATACTATTAATTAAATGTAATGTTAACTGTTATTGTATAATTGTTTTAAATGGGGGCACGCTACAAGAGTCCTATCTCGCACCCCGGGGCAACGTGTCTGACACGGCCGGTTGTAGCAACTACTCCGAAGATCAAGATTACATTAATCTTGATCTAAGGAGACACGAACGAACGATGTATGTAATTTTCCGCAAACGGTCATAATTTATCGATTTGTTGAGTCAGTTTCTCTTCTTCAATTTTGCGTGTGTAATTAATTAAGGCAGGGTCTAAAGCGTTGTCATTGCTTTATCTTTATGTCAAGCTACCCAGCCCTCCTTTATTGTGTCCTTTATCTCTCTCTCTCGATCTCTCTCGATCTCTGCCCTTTTTCTCGCTTCCTCTCCCTCTCTCTATTACTTTCTCTCTCTCATACTCTTTCCAACTTTCTTTATCGCACTGCTTCTTGCATTTCCCTTTCCTATTCTCCCCTTATTACTGACCATTTATTCCTTCCTCTCATCCATTGCAGATAAATGGTCCTCAAAAAGTTTAGATTTAAGGTAGATCTATACAGCATATACAATCATGCATAACTTGCTTATTTCTAATATTTATGTCATATATTTCAACCAAATTATATTATAGCTGTTTCTGTTAAGTTAAATATATGTGAATTTATATGCATATTCAATTTGATTAATCAGAAATTCTAATCATTATGTATCATATATGCTGTACAAAATTCGGAAAACACCACCACCGTCGCCGCCACACAATTTTGGTCACATGCGTCAGAAGCAGGAGGGTCGGGTGGTGGTGGTGGGGGGGGGGGGGGGGGTGCACAGTGGGGCGAATTCCCTGCCTATAGTATTAAGACTATAGTAATCTTGTAGTCGACATTCATAATCATGATAATCCCCCCGATCCAGGGCGCCCGCCGAACTGAATTACATGCTGTAGTTTAGATAATAAACAAATATGCCTGCCCTATTGATTAGTACACTGACAGGATAAAAACACGTGTTATTTTTTATAAACCATTTCTGCAATGTGACATTTTTTAAAATTTAAATTTCATTATATTTCATCATTAGTTTAACAACTGATATTGAAGGGAGTTTATGCAATAGCTTATCTGTTGTCAGGGGCATCGTTAGACCTTTTTCAATGGGGGGGGGGGGGGGTGTAGATGTAGAGGCCAACGATTACCGACAAAACTAGCCACCAATTACCGACAAAATTAAATGTCCCTATATCTTGCGTATGCGCAAATGGTCATTTTCCTCGACGACATAAAATATACGAATTATTTCGTCAACTTAGTCAGCATCATAGCTATATATTTTAATGTAGGCGCGTAGCTAGGGTGTTATTTTAGGGAGGGGCGGTAGAGAACAAGCAAATCACTTAAAGAGGTCACGAAGTGCGTTTCTTCGGGGGTGAAAAGCCTCCCGCGCGAAGCGCGGAAACCGTAGACATTTCATTAAATTGTTAAGAAAAGAAGATGATTTGTTGTACCGTTTTCGACTCTTAAAAAGCCCTAATTGTCTGAATTCAGTTTCCCTTCTCTCGCGCGAAGCGCGGATGCTTTGACATTAAGACGATTCGTTGTACCGTTCGCGACTCTTAACCCTAATTGTCTGAATTCAGCGCGGAAGCTTTGACGTTTCTTTAGATTATGACAAAAAGCAGACGATTCGTTGTACTGTTCTCGACTCTTAATCCTTATCTGAATTCAGTTCTCCCCCTACCGCGCAAAGCGCGGATGAGTAGACGTTTCATTAAAGAAGACAATTCGTTCTACTGTTCTCGACTCTTAATCCTTGTCTGAATTTAGTTTCCCCTCCCCCCCCCCCCTCCCGCGCGAAGTGCGGAAGCTAAGACGTTTTCTTAAATTAATAGAGAAGGAAAACGATTCGCTGTACCGTTCGCGACTCTTAATCCTAATTGTTTGAATTCAGTTCCCCCCCCCCCCTCCCGCGCGAAGCGCGGAAGCTTTGACGTTTCATTGAATTGTTATAGAAAGAAGACGATTCGTTGTACCGTTTTCGACTCTTAATAAGCCCTAATTGTCTGAATTCAGTTCTCCCCCTCCCGCGCGAAGCGCGGAAGCGTAGACGTTTCATTAAAAAAGATAACTCGTTCTACTGTTCCAGACTCTTAATTCTTGTCTGAATTCAGTTTCCCCCCTCCCGCGCGAAGCGCGAAACCTTTGACGTTTCCTTATATTATTATAGAAAGAAGACGATTCGCTGTACCATTCGCGACTCTTAATCCTTATCTGAATTTAGTTTCCACCCTCCCGCGCGAAGCGCGGAAGCTTAGACGTTTCCTTCAATTTGTAGAGAAAGGAGACGATTCGTTGCATCGTTGTTGACTCTTAAAGGTAATACAAAGTTTTGGGAAATTTTGAAAATTGGGTGGATAGTGAATCTTTATAATTTTGATATATTTGAATGCCCCCGTGGATGTATTATAAGCACTACAAAAATCAACCCCTAAAACACTTCAGTTTTCGAGAAAAATTAAATATAAAAATTTACCGGTGCTCCCGGTAAATTTTGATAAATTTCAAATAGCGCCTACTGCAGTACAATGTTAGCTTCGACCATGAAAATCTCAGAATATGTAGTTTTGATATATAATTTCCAAACGGGAATAGCTAATCGGTCGATTTTAGTCAAGAAACATTGTTTCATAGCTAAATTGATATCTTGACCTTGAGAGGGAGCTATACAACATAAAGAGTTTATTATTTATAATTTCATAACTTTAGACTCGATTTCAATCGGGACAACGATCAATGAATATTGTAGGAACGCATATGCTTCCAATATGTTAATTTGAACCAAATTCATGACCCCATACCAAAACTTTGTATTACCTTTAATCCTTGTGTGAATGAAGTTTTCCCCCTCCCGCGCGAAGCGCGGAAGTTTTAGCGTTTCATCCAATTAGAGAAAGGAAGACGATTTTTTTTGTACCGTTGTTGACTCTTAATCCTTGTTTGAATTTAGTTTCCCCGAAAATTTAGACCTCTTATTTCTTTTGCTGATATTATAGGAAAGTGAAACTTCGAGAAAATACCAGTATTGTAGGTGTACTCACTCTCGAAGTCGTCACAGCGGATAAAAAGTCACAGTTCGCATTGATATTGTATACACGAGGATCGAGCAAAAATACCGACACAGCTGACCCGACACAGCAACATATTTATTCGTGTCTTTCTTGCTCTCTCGACGAGACGACTCCACGCAACAACCCCCTCTCTTTTTTACTCCCACTCCTTTTCTTCCAGGCTCTTACCACCCCCCCTCTCTCTCTCCTCTCTTTCATCCTTCATTTCTTTTGTTTCCCCTTTTCTCTTTTTTTCTTCATCTTTTCCTTTTCTTTCTTTTCTTTCTTTTCCTTTCTTTCCTCTCCTCTCTCTTTTTTTTTCTCTCTTTCTTTCTTTTCTTTTCTTTCCTTTCTTTCATTTCTTTCCCTTTTCCTCTCTTTTCACTCCCCCTTTTCCCTTTTTTCCCGACGGCAGCGCAATTTTACCGACAATATCCTGACAGGTGGGGGGGGGGGGGGGGGGTTGTCGCACCCCACCCCCCTTTTGGAAACGCCCCTGTCTGTTGTAGAGTTGACAAGGGAGCATGTGCCTCAGGTGCAACTCAAAGGGCTTTAACAAAAATAAACAAAAAAAGAAAAGGGAGAAAAGGAAGGGAAAAATTAAACTAAATTAATGAATGAATTATGGTTTGTGTAGGAAGTCAGAAGAAAACAACAATTATATTCAAATTCGAAACTCTACTGTTAGATTAGTACAGTCAAGAATTTCCACTCTTTATGCAGCGAGGTGGCCCGATTGAATTTATTGTGATGCCGAAGTAACAATTTTTGGTATTATAAACACTGTTCTTTTATCATAACCTGATATTCAGCCACAAGGCCCAGCTCACCCCCCCCCCATGAATTTATTTTTATTTTTTGGTAGCTAACTCATTTTGTAAACAGGATGGTTGATATTCAGCCAACAGGCCTTAGCATCCCCACCCCTTTTCATGAAAGTATGCCCATATGCCTATGATTTCAGAGATCCTCTGCGATTTGTGTATGGGTAAATGCATAAGAAATTGCATTTGATGGGCTAAAAAAAAAAAACTAAACTACATCGCAATTTCAGTGTTTGCACCGGTAATCATAATAACTAGATACAGGGGCGGCGATTTCTTTTCATGACCGAGGGGGAGGGGGGCGACATGCGAGGGACGAGAGAGCATAGTGAACAAGAGGGGCGAAGCTGGAGGAGACTACCCCCTCACAGGTTTTTGAAGTTTTGTTGTATTCAAAGATTACATTCCTTAGCAAAACTACATTATAAAAACAAGAATTTGTTCACACTTCACTTTAAATATGCCGGTAGGACCTATTTAGTGTGCAGTCCGAAGGGTTGTGAATGTTTGGTAGGTCAACTTTTAGTAAGTAGGGAGCAGCACTGATCCATTTCTATATCTCTTAATCTTGTGAACATACAACGTAAACTGTGCTTACGCGATACTAATGGAATGCAGATTTTCTACAATATTGATCATTTTGAACGATATTATGCGAGGGAGCGTAGCTACCGAGCGAGAAGATTTTTTTTTGCATTTGTATTAGTCTAAACGCTGCACTGTTGGGGCCTCCAGAGCCTAAAAGTGTGTTGCAGTCTTTAGTCAGTATTTGCTATATATTTTGGGGGACACTTTTTTTCAAATTTCCCCTAAAAGAATTGAGGGGGACGCCAGAGGACGGCCCCCCCTTCCCCTGGGATCGCCGCCACTGCCTAGATACACCACAGTCGCCACTAACTAATGTTACTGTAAAAGACTAAGAGAGAATTGCCGCAGTGAAAGCAGTTTCCGTTAAGAAACCAAAAACGTTTAAAACAAAAACAAAAAAAAACACGGTCAGAATGTCAGAACGGTCAAAGGTGTCCCCGGCCTACCACCCCACGTTCTGCGTATGTTTGTTTGATGACATTAGGCCCTGTAACATTAATAGCCCAGATTATCTCTCGAGAATTAGCCTTTCAACCTTTACGCCAATTAAAATTGCCCCATAAAGAATAGCCTACTTTTTACGCTAAAAAAAGCCCCCTCCCCTGTACTATACAAAATGATATCTAAGAAAACGCTCTTTCATAAACATAGGGGGAAAAGGGGAACAAAAAGTTGTCGTTATTAAAAGTAAAAATCTGATTATTTGGTTTATTGGATTTAAATTTGCAGTCGTGGACAAATAATCCCCTCATCCACCACGGCCACTTATATGCCGGTAACTTCAAATGCCCACCATTATTGTGAATCTTTTATCGCCAAACAATTCAAGGAGCGACAGCGCCTGGAGCAAAGACTAACACTAGCGCAAAATTTAATTTTCTAAGGGAATCGACTCCTAGCTCGATCCTCCTCGTTTATAACTCACGTAAGTGGTGAATTTTTGCGGCTTTGTTCTGACTTTTGTTGTCTTTGTAACGTGTTTTTATTCTTATCTTGTGCCCTTGTTTTCACCAAATGATAAGTTTTAATTGTTATGAAAACCAGCTAATAATATACCTCATAACAAGTAGTCTACTGGTCATTGTCGGTTTGCAGGCCAAGCATCGCGAGCTGCTCACCCGGCCAACTCCCAGGCCTAGGCCGTCCGATTCCGCTAGCTCCGAGCGCGGGCCCCGGCCTCCTGATCCTTGTTGGGCTCGTTCCTAGAAAGCAACGACAAGACAGTCATAACTTATCCGCCAACTACGGAGATGTCTCTGATCTTCGTAAACCGTTTCACGAAGAGCTTACTAGATAGATATCTCGTGAGATCAATACTGTCGGCGAGAAGAAGAGCCACGACTTACTTAGCCAGGCTTAGTTGCAATAGAGTCTACTACCGGATTATTACAAAAGTATAATATTACTTTTTTATTAGGGAAATTGCAATTATTTAAATGAATTAGTAATGAAAATGATTGAAAATGATACCAAGAAATAAGAGATGCAATGTACTTCCAAATTTGTGTAGATTATACAACAGAAGTAGACTCTACCTGTAAAATATAATTGTGAGTAGTCTAGATCTATTTCATTACATGGTGAATCAGTTTTGTTCATAAGATGGGTACCCCCCGGATATTTTCATTTGAATTTTGATAGTTTATAAAAATAAACCAATATATTATTCTTAGAAAATATGATGTAAATAAATTTGTGTCCAATGTTTTAGGTGTCAGTTGAATAATCAAATGACAAAACTTTGACGTTAAAAGTAATAAAACACACGTTTTAAACTATTAATTTTACACATTTGAAGATATAATTTATCTCGAAGGCAATATGGGTCTGAAAAGTAAAGAATACACTATGGCTTGCCTGCCGTGGCAGATTACCCATCCCATTCAAGGATTTACAATATGTAAAGCAACGCGTATAATCAGTTTATAAAAGTGGGAAATGCCTAAAAAGTAAAATATAAACGTGGCATATTTTCTAAAGATTTTCTAATGTAAAGAAATGATAACTTCCTGTTTAAATGAATGTGTAGAAAGATCATAGCTGGAGGATTTATTGTCTTTTCTTGCTAGCCATAGTCTACCCAATAAATGACATGTGATGGCGCTGCCCATCGACTAAATAGTTATGACAGAGATATGACGGTGTTGGAAGGCGTCATAACTCCTTAGTCAGGAAGTTGTCCTTGATGTTAGCACAGAGGGCTTCGTGAAACACGTATCGGACAAGTAGCTCACTAACGCTGATTTAGTCAAGAAGTTAGACTTATGACGGTTTCTAGGAACGGGCCCCCAAACCTTGCATCTTCCCGTTCAGTTGTAAATTACTTCAACTTGTATTACCTGTAGTTGTATTAGTAGTATACTAGACTATTAGTCACTAGATAATATAGAATAGACAGCTACCAGGGGCCCGTTTCAAGAAACTGTCATATTTAGTCTAACTTCTTGACTAGATGATAGATCTAGGGTCTAGATCTACTACTACTACTACTAGTCTAGTCTACGTCTAAAGTACTCTAGTCAGACTCAGAGTCCAGTTAGAACTTAGATGACCCTTCCAACCCCATCATAATATCTAGCTGATTATCTCTGTCATAACTTTTTTTTTTAGACGATGGACAGCGCCATCACCATGATCACATGTCATTTATTGGGTAGACTATGGCTGGCAAAAAGGGACAAGAAATCCTCCAACTTTGATCCTTTTACACATTCACTTAAACAGGGAATTATCATTTTTAATATTTGAAAATCTTATGAAAATAAACCGTTTTAATATAGATCTAGAGGGTCTATCTAAGGATTTTCCCACTTAACTAAACTGATTATAGGTCTACACGTTTAATTCCACATTGTAAAATCCTCGAAGGGATGGGTTAACTGCCACGGCAGGCAATATAGTTGGAATTGTATTTGCTAGTTTTCAGACCCATATTAATTTCGAGATGAATTCTATCTTCAAATGTGTAAACTGAATAGTTTAGAACATGTGTTTTAACATTCAGAATGTTGAAGTTTTGTCATTTTAATATTGTGCTGACACCTAACATTGGACAAAACTTTCATAACATCATATTTTTACTAAGAATAATATAGATCTAAGGGTGTATTTTTATAAACTATCGAATGAAAATTTCCAGGAGGGGGGGGGGGGGTACCCATCTCAGAAACAAAAACTGATTCACTGGTTATGAAATGAAATACTCACAATTGTACAAACTGTACAAGTAATTCTATGGTATAATCTACACAAATTTTAAGTATATTGCATGTCTTATTCCCTGGTACCATTTTCAAACTTTTTTTTATTCCTAATTAATTGAAATAATTGCAGTTTTCGTTTTCATTTTTAGTTTTTATTGTAATTCAATGGTTTTGCGACTATTAGGCTATGTCTTGGCTATTCTTCTCGCCGATAGTATTGATTTCACGAGATATCTAGCTAGTAAGCTCTTCGTGAAATGGTTTAAGAAGATCAGACTCAGAGACATCTCTATAGTTGGTGGATAAAGTACCGGTAATGACTGTCTTGTCATTGGTTTCGAGAAACAGGCCCCAGTTTCTCAACTTCTTAAGTCAGACTGAGGCAGTGTGCTCCCTGTCCGAACTCAAGGCTAACCATGTCCTTTAGTTTAATCTATTTGGGGTGTGAAGCAACGTATGCAAAGAAGCATGTAAAGTAAATGCCTCTGAACATGCTAAAATCTGAATATGGCTGCTTCCAAATGTTAGTTTTAAGCTGAATTTTACTAGATTTTATGGAAATGGTTTTGTTTATTTTTATGTATGTAGACCAGCTTGAGAGAGGTGCCAAACATGCACAAACTATCTGGAGAGACTGTGCGACTTATATCCAGTGCTCAAGTCATTACATCTGTCGCCAGTGTTGTGAAAGAGCTCCTTGAAAACTCCCTGGATGCCCATGCTGATAACGTCGAAATCAAATTGGTGAGGAAACTTTTCATTTTTTAAAAATATTTTTATTTATTTATTTATTGGGTTTTTACAAACATGTATAATAATAATAATAACTTCTACTTATATCAAAGCGCTTTACAATATTGATGCTAGTAAAAATAAACAGAGAAATGACAAGAGAACAAAAGTGAAATTATCAAACATATGATAACAAAGTAAGGTTATAATTCAAGAACTAGGTTGAATATGCCTTTTCCATTAGATTGGTTTTTAATTTTGATCTAAACAAAGTAATATCAGAGATATAACAAATGGAGGCCTTCTCAGGGTTCTTGTTAATTTTTCTGATAGCAGGCTATTTATGATTTACAGGAGGCTACTAAAATTGCAAAAGAAAAATCTCTGTGCGCGTAGCGCACATCACCATGTGCGCGAAGCGCACATCACGAGCGCGAAGCGCGAAGTCCCTTGCGGCCGGGGTCCAGGGCCCGCCCAAGGGCCCTGGAAGCTTTAGGGTTTTAGATGCTCTCTGGTGCTATCTTAGCCTTATTTTTGAAGATATGACCACACTGTATGAGCCATAGTTTAATGATAAAGATCATGAATATTTTGGCTGAATAACTTACTTTTCATATGATATACAATATGAAATGAAAATGCTCCATTATTGTTTCTGATAAATCAATCATATTTGTGATGAATCTACAATTTTGAATTACATGATAATGATACAAGGTAGTCCTGGGCAAAAACGGTTAACTGACGTTTACAGGACCTTGTCAGTGAAGAAAATCGTTTGCGATAAAAAATTTAAAAAAATAATAATTAATAATTATTTCTATAGACTCTAGGCCTACGAAAAAAAAATAGTTTTCGGTACTTTTCTTCCAATCGCCATTATATGCAATATGCCACCTCTGTTTTTCGAATCGGTAAAATAGATCGCTAAAAGTAAAAGTAAAAATGTTACAACACGAAAAGAAAAGATCCAGAAAAAAACCTTTTTGTTGTTGTATTGAAACAATTATCAAATAGATATAAGGATTATATCGGTGTTGGACAAAGTTCTGAGTACATATGAGTACAAATTTTCATTTTTTATTCACAATACGGTAGATCTAACTTAGGATTACGAAGTATAAATAGCAATGCCAATGCGGGTGATCATTTGGACGCAGAGCGAGCTCTGGAGCTGGCCTCTTTAAATTATTGCGAGCGGAGTTCGCTGGCTTGAGCTTGTTTACGAACGTACGTCTACGGTCTAGTCTCTGTGACAGTGTATGTGTATAGCGTGCCGCACCGGTTGTGCAGCGCTCGTATTCTGAATCGAATCGTGCATCGCCAAATCAATCACAGTTTCACACTAGGCCTGAGTCAAACCGTTTAACCGACGGTTATCCGACCGCATTCATCAAAACCGTTTAGCATTTCTCGCTCCGGTTAACCGTTATTTGCATACATTTTGGAATGTGCTAATAGCCGATGATAAAGATAATCAAAGAAACCGCAGTGTAATGTTACACCCTGGCCGCTGCGCGCCAGCTTTCTGGCAGCAGTAATTCCCATGAATGAATTTGTAAACAATAAAACAACCAGCCCCCTTCTCTCTTTTCTCACCCTCTTTATTCCCTTCTCTCTGCAATGTGTTCATCGCTCATGTACCTTTTCTTATTACTGCACTCTCAGCTCACAACTTTCTACATGTTTACACATTCGATGGTCAGTTCCTCTCACATCCCTTCTCCCCCGAGTCTCTCTCTCTCTCTCAATATTAATATCCATCCCTTGCCGACTCGCCCCCTAAAATAATGTTCATATATAAATAAAATACAAAAATATTGATAACAATAATAATTGAATTTTTAGAAATATCAATCAACAAAGTCTTGGATATTGTGAGTAATTTAAGTTTTTGATCATTCTTCAATTCAGCTGATTAACACAGCCATCCTTTCTATCGAGTCTCACTTGTCTTACTTGTCTTACTCATGTCCCTGCCTCGTCCATGCAGGGACATGCAGGGACATGCTAGCCCATGCGTGCTCACACAGTCACACACACATGTACACACAAACCTCCCACTGAACTGGGTACGGTGAAAGCACGCGCGGTCACCAACCTGTAATTTATGCTGGTATCAAACTCCACCCACATAGCTAGATAACCTTCCTCATTGGTCACTAACTTGGATCAGCTCATTGCAGGGTGTGTCTTGGGTGTGTGTGATACACACTTCCACATAATTTCATATGGCAATGATACATGCAGGGAGCTCTCTCCCTGACCATGTGCAAACATTGCATTGCAAAGGCATATATAAACACGTCACAGATCAGCTATCTTCACAGAGTAACTTTGCAAGGTTAATCATGATATCAAGTTCAGATGAGGAATAATAAGACATGTTTTATGTTGTTTATTAGTGGTCTCTGTTTATCAGGATGACCCAATTTGTGCCATAGTCCGGGGCTGGGAATGCTCAGCCCGACAGTCTGAAGACCAGCAGGGTTTGAGATAGCGACTTGACCGAATATGATGTGATTTTTGTATTATTATTTTTTTTTTTTGGAGAGGCTTACAGCCGGCTACGATTGCCGTTACAGCCGGAAAAAATAGCCGGTTGCCGGCTATTAACAAGAACCCTGTGGAAGAGAATTCCACGCGTTAAATGATCATGCCATGTCTTTTTTCTTTGCTGAGCTTACATGATACAATTTTTAATTAAATTGACCCTCATTCAAGAGGTTTATGGTTCAAATCAAATCCAAGCTTGTTCTATAATTATGTTCATAGAAAAGGCATTTTATCTGCATGCATTTATCTCTCTCCGCCCAGGTGTTACCGGTAATTGGCTACCTGACAGGAATGGCAGGATTTATTCCTTGAAATGAATTCTGCACTGGTAATGGAGATGGGATAAATTAAGGGCCATAATGTCAATACTTTTTGGGAGGCAATACTAATAGGGGCACTGTATGCTAATGTGATGTGATGATTGTTAATATTTTACTGAAGAGAAAAGACTGTACTGTACTCATTCTCTGTGCAGGAGAACTGTGGCATAGACAAGGTTGAAGTACGTGACAACGGCGATGGGATACAGGCCGACGACGCAGACTTCATGGGTCGCAGACACTACACTTCCAAACTATCTAACCACGATGACCTCGAGGATCTTATAACCTATGGTTTCAGGGGAGAGGCCCTGGGTTCTCTTTGTGCAGTATCCAATGTTACCATAGCAACAAAGACCAAGGATGAGGAGGTTGGAAGGTGCTATACTCTAGACCATGAGGGGATTGCTTCGTCACCGAAGCCATCGCAATGCTGTACAGGTGATTCATTTCTTTGGTGATCCAACATTACTATTTGAAGCCACAGGGCATTAACTCTGCTAATTAAACGTCCTTATAGCTCCATAAAGAAAATATCCTTTGGCAGCACTTCCTCCAGGCTTCATGTTATCAAAGATTAGATTAGAGTAAGGCACTACTGTGACAGCCTCACTTCGCTTCCACAATGTAAATGTTGTACAAACTTACATATGTTGTGTACATGTAGATGTAGTCAAAGAGAGGTCAAATATTAAAATGCCTGTACCGGTACATCAGCTGGGATTATATGTGTCACCTTCCTAGCTAGCTCTATACAACAAGTTACTTGTCCTCATTTGCCATAATACCACAGTCACACCAACAACACCAAGGCAAAATAAGCCCAACAATAGATTCACACATGCAACAAAATTAATTTTTGTTGAATGGCTAAGAATCATTGGCTTGGAACTGGTATGTAGTTTATTTGGCAATGTGTTCCAACTGAGGTATGATCATCCCCTATTTTTTCATCAATAATGCTGTTATAATATATTAGACTGTGACTTTCAAAAACTTCAGGCACTACCGTGACAGCCTCGCGTCTCTTTCACAACATCCCAGTCCGAAAACAGTACTACAGCAATGCCAAGCGACGGAGAGACGAACTCAAGAAAGTGGAAGACCTCCTCCTCAGCTTTGGAGTGGTTTGTCCCGAGGTGCGCTTCTCTCTCAGCCACAACAAGGCATCTATCTGGCAGAAGAATAAAGTCCCTAACATCAGGGCCGCCCTCTTGAACATGCTGGGGTCAAATGTCATGAGTCAGCTGATAAGGGTTGAGAGAAACGATGAAGAAACACAGGTGATCATACTTTTGTAGCCTAGCTACATGCTGGGGTAGATCCAGGGTTTGGTCAAACAAAAAATGTGGGAGCAATATTCCAAAATTATTGTTGAAATTTGAAAGGGTGGTTACATTGTACAAGAAGTCACTGGGTGGGTGGGGGGGGGGGGTGTACTTATACGGTATTCCACATATCACAAATGCCAAATGTTTGTTTATATGTTTGTCATTCCATTACAAAATTAATAGCTTTCTTATCTATTTTCATACTCTACCTTTTGATTAGTAATTCTACAAATTTCACAAAGTGTATCAACATTTACTTTAATAATTGGGAATTGGGGGGGGGGGGGGTTGAAGTAGCTGCGTTCAACAAAGGCCTGTTAGCATAATTAAAGGAGAAGTCCACCCTGATATTATGTCCTTGAATATTATATTGGTTTGAATAGAAGCAGAAAAAATGAGAAGATAAGGTCAGTGAAAGTTTGAGCAATAATATCCAATTAAAATCGGAAAGTTATGCATTTTTGAAGTTATCGTTATTACATTGAAACACGATTGGCAACACTGTGACGTATCATACGCGCTCTTCTACAATTAGCTCTGTACTGATAATTTCGTAAACTTTCATTTTCTCAGTTATTGATGATGGAGTAGATTTGTGTCATACAGGGGTTGTGTAAAATCATATTTGCAATGATTTTATTTAGGGTGCATGTAATGTCTTTAGTTAAAATTAAAAGTTCTTGTTTTTTTTAGTACAAAGCAAATGAGTAAGATACGTCAAGGATGTCGCCAATTTGTGTTTGACTATTATTACCCTCGCTTTTAAAGCCAAGCAGCCCTGAAGTTTTAAGGTTCTAACCGGGTGTTACACCCGGATGGAGATTTCTATCTTACCAAAGGATCTTAGTGCAACATGGCAAACCATGTGTTCCGCCCTCTGTTGACTTATCCACCGGATCATGACACTTATAAGACATAAAAAAAGAGAAAGCCCTCTTCACTTAGGTCATTACAAAAAATAAGGTTTGACACAACAGGTGTAATGAGAGTGGATATTTTTATTTTTTGCTACTTTCAGGTGAAAATTGAAGGATTTTTACCCAAGCCTGGTTCAGATGACCAGTTAACTACCAGATCTACCGATGATCATACATGGATTGCAGTGAATGGACGTCCAGTAATCATGAAAGATATCTCAAAGGTGACTAGCTATCACTGGCTGTGCTGACCATTGCACCTATTTAGATGTTGTCCAAGATTAAGGGTTATGGTTGCAATTGGGATTTAGGTCAGGGTTGGGTACAATGTTGAAGTTATGAATTCGTGAGGGATATGAATTCAACCACTGAGGAATTGTAACAGGAACGTGTGTCAATAATCATCTACCAGTACATCCACATTAAAACATAAATCTGAACAGATACCCAAGTTTGACAAAACTGTAGAAATTATCATTAGTATATATACCTGTGTCCTAATAGTACTGGAAGTATAATTTGCTTGATTAGTTATTGTCATCACAAAACATTCATTCATTCAAAATATGCACCATTATCACTCCCTAGGGTCAATTCCTGATAAAGGCTTACTGTGATGTTATATACAATCAAGATAGCTGTCGTCAAAATGATTTGACTGAAGATGGAACATTTTTCTTTTTAAATTAATTTTTTTTGGTTTAATTCTCAACTACCGAAATTTTCTTTTTATTCTCCATTTCATCTGAGGTTTATGATCAAGAAATACAGAAATATTGCAGAGATACTTAAACGATATTGGATTGTTGTTTGATGTAGGTTGTAAAGCAGTACTATAGCCAGGCTCACCCTAAAGCAGGGAATGTCCGCCATGTCATCATGTGTCTTGCCGTTTCCATGCCAACCCATCTTGTTGATGTCAACCTGGAGCCAAACAAAACCAAAGTGCTCCTTCAAAATAATGTAAGTTCTGGCAACCTTTGTCTCACTCCATACTCAGGAGTCTGTGACATCACTGCCTCACTATCCACTACCTTTAATTGTTTTCTTTATATTGATAATATAAATTTCCCATTTTCCCCCATAAAATCTTATTTCCTCACACCAGCATCCAAGTTATATTGAAAGTAATATGTATTTGTGTGGATGCACTAATATAGAATAACTTTGTTCAGTTAAATCATGAAAAATGTGAATTTTGATAAACTATTTCTATAAAATCAGTGATTGTGAATATTAAAACAATATTCATCAAATATTGTCAATTCTTCAAAGTTGATTTTGTTAAATGTCATGCACTCAATATGATAAAAACCATATAACATGGGCAAAGGCTTGGGGAAATCAAGTTTTTGGGATAAAAAGGGAAATTAGGGAATTTACTCAAAATTATTTTGCTCTGTTTCTTTTGTTTTTCTGCATCTATTGAAAGCAAATTATTTTAGCCTTTAGGATCTTGTCTATAATTGTCTCTCTCCACCCAGGTGTTCGATGTGTACCTGGCAGAACTTATTTCTTGAAGTCCTCTGTACAACAGCTGCCGCTGCTCAAACTAGGACAAAAACACATCTAAACCCACTTAGAAACCCATATGGACATTATCCTACAATGCATAATGTGCTCTACAAGTACTGTTGTTTATTAATGTTGTCAATGTTTTTGTTATTATTATTATTGTGTTTTTTTTGGGTCCTGGTATGTTTCAGGATGCTGTAATTTGTCTGATCATTCAGATGCTAGAGGAACTGTACAAAGCAACTCCACCAGTAGAACCAACCCTCCCAGGTCAGTCTCAAAACCAGCCACTCTCAGGAGCATCAGCTCAGACTGCTACTGGTGCAACATGTGATGTAGACCTTAAACAGGCTGGTCAAGAGTCTACACTTGCATCTCGTGATATCTCTGAAGGCATGGACCGTGCAGCACCCACTGCGTTCAATGATAGTGAAGGTATATCAATGATCTGTGACATCTTAGAAAATTCAGATGCATCCATGATCGATGGACCTTCTCAGAACCTCATGCATAGTAAGGGAATAGACGATAGCCACATGAAACCTCAACTTAACAATATCTCGATCTTTGAAGAAGAAGGAGAAAAGATGTTTGTAAATTGCTTGCAGAGCACACAATCCATACCACCAGAGAGTTCTAGAGCGCAGATCAGCTTTGTAGATGTTCCTGATAGGTCTGAAACAAATGTGAATTGTGGCAGAAGCCAGGGAGATGATACTGGTGGTGAGATTCTGAAGGAAGACCATGTTGCTATTAGCAACCAGGAATCACTTGATGTTGGTGCTGGGAATGGTGATGATGCTCTGTGGAGTAAGGGACAAAGTCTTACTGAGCCAAGTGGGAAGATTGTCCAACCGTCTGTCCTGCTCATCCCCGGCAGGCAAGAGCCTGCTGTAAGCGAGTCAAGGAAAGCAACTACCTCTACCGAGTCTTCATTCCAAGCACCCCTACCCTGCTTGATCCGACTGCTGCAGGAGCCTATCAACAGCAGTATTACAAACACCAGGGTTCCTCAAGCCTCTGGAACATCACGCCTCTTTACAACAAGTGTAACAAGTGCTGAAAATCAAAATACCTCGGCTCTATATTCTAGAGGACAGACCTCACCTAGTCGTAGCCCAGGGAAGGTGATAGATAAGACTGGTACCAGTTCTTCTGTAGAAGCATCATCCTGCGATAGTCCGGGAAGGATGAAAAGACCAATAGAAGAAAGGAGTAGTCCGGGAACTCAGTATGACTTGGTAGGGAAGGCCCCAGTAATGAGGCCTCAAGATGCTTTTGCCTTCTTCTTCAAGGAGAAGAAACCTGAAAGTAAGTAAAAAGAGCAACAAAGGGCTGACATTTAGTTATAGCTTTCATAAACCCTTAAATGTAGGTCTAAACTCAGAGAAATCAGAGAGGCTACTTTTAGTGATAAATGTGTGCTTTATCACTGGACTTTTTAAAACACTTTAGTTGCTTTCTTCACCTCTTTCCTTAGTCGCTCGTTTAATTTGCCACACATGTAATTGTGCACAAAGCAATAGACACCAATTGAGGGAGAAATCCACGAAAATTAATGTACTGCGAATATTTCTACAGTTCCCATTTCCAATCTTGTGAAGCCTATTAACACTGGTATAGATTAACCTTGCAATGGAAGCAGTTGAATTATCTTGAAGCTTTTGGTATATATCTATCCAATGATAAATACAATTTGGCACAGGGAGATTACGTATGTAGCATATAAAGAAAAAAACGAAGAACACTTGTCCAACCTGTGAATCGGAAAAGTCCATGTGGGAATTCTAACTTTGATTCGTATTTAGTTTTGAGACAGCATCCTACTTTGAATGTCATGCCCATCAATACGATTCTAAAGAGATGATGGGAAGAGCTGAATGAGAAGGAGATGATTAGATATGAAGAACCAGAGGCTAGAGATCTCTCTCTTTTGCTTGGAAATAGTGAATTCCTCTGGGTGGTTTCCTTCCCAATTGTGATTGTAAATTTGAAATTGCTATTAGGAGCTTGACTACCGGTACACATGATTAAGGAGAAAACACCTGGAAAGATTCACTATTAACTGAAACAAAAACAGACTTTTTTCAAACCAGGAATTTAACAACAGATTATCTTGTTATGAACGAAGACATATCTTTTCTCTGTTTATTTCTCTGTAGTATTGAGACAGCATCCTACCTTGGATTTCATGTCTATCAATAAGATTCTACAGAGACAATGGGCTGAGCTCAATGAGGAGGAGATGATCACGTATGAAGAACAAGAAGCTAGAGATCTCCAAAGGTTAGTTTTCTTTTAAAATATTGTCTGTTGAGAGTCAGAAGGGCATTTACTTGTATGGTTTAAAGCCCCACTGCACTAGTTTGGCCAGGAGGGATTAGACCTCCCTGTGTGGTCACTGACAGGTGGTTATCTCATCAAATCAGCTCTCAATTAACATTTTATAAAAGAGGAACATAGGGAACCAAAGGTCACCGATTATGCATTGTTTGCTATATAGAGGGCGCAAGTAGCTATAAGTAGCAGGGGGGTTCAACTCCGCTTCTGCATCCGTCTAGCCATGGGGAAATTTTGGAGGGTCAAAAGTGTACACTGCTTCCACTTATCGTGTATTAGCCTATGAAGACGACAAATTTTTAGTGCACCAGCGAAACGGGGATTTTGGACTGCGCGCAGCGCGCAAAATATTTAAATTAAAATTTGGAATATTCATGAGCTCTTTTCCACTTATTAGCATATTATCGCAATAAAAAAAGACAATGCGCATGCGTTACTATATCGACAGAATCCTTAATTGGGCCGATAAATGTAGTACAAAGGTCAGAGTCGAAGAGGTGGGGGGGGGGGGTAATAACTTTCAAATGGTTGTGACTTAAGGCCACAAACTTCACTGTCACCAGAATGGAAAGTACATTGACAAAAATTAAGTTCAGTTAAAAAGCAAAAATGACCCCATTTGACCGTGGTACCTCAATTCATTTTTTACCTCTTTTTTGTGTGTTTTATTTTGTTCGTTTATTTACTTAAATGATATTTTCATATTTCTAGTGCCCAAATAATGAATCATTCTCGCCTCGCCTTCAATGATCTTTCATATTGTGCCCCATCCCCAATGAAATTTCAATTTTGCCTCGTTCTTTTCATTCTTGCATTCGTCGCCACTGATTTGTTTAATAATTTGCCACCCCGCCCCCCCCCCCCCCCTACAGTTACATTTTCAATACAGGACCTCTTCCAATATTGACATTTCACTAGGCTCTATTACCCTCCCTCCTCCATCCCCACCACCATTACCTATGCTGTCATTTTGGCATTGACTTATTCTTTATTTAACCCCCCCCCCCCACCCCCATCTCTATTGTAAACCATTTTTTATATTGCATTTATACTTAAGTCTTGCCCACTCTCTTGTTACATTTAATAATAATAATAATAATAATAATAATAATTAACAACATTTGTATAGCGCTTATCACAAAATATGTCTCTCATTAGGAAAGATGATTATAATCACCAGCATCATCACATAACTTCCAAAAAATAAGAAAATGAAAAGAAAAGAATTAAGCAGTATTAACTAATTTTATTAACATTTATGAACATAATTTTTTCTATAATGATCTTTTAAAATACAACCTGAACTAAAGAAAGGTAACAAATGAACGGGGGAGGGGTGGCTGTCGTCTCTTGAACTTAAAATTGTTCAGATATATAATTCTACTATAGATTTAGAAAATTAGATATATTAAAATAAAATCCATATGATTTATTCAATTATCAACATGTAAAGCATGGCTATATATTGTCAAACCTGCTTTAGTGACCACCTGTCTACAAAGCCAACATTTGTTTTGTTTCCCTTGAAAATGGTTTCTCATTGAAACATGTACTAAACGAGCCTGTCTACATAGACCACTTTTTGTGTTTCCCTTGGGCGGTTGGTACAAGTACTTTTTCTTTTACATTGGACATTTTTGTTCATTGTCATCATTATTACTATCATTATTTTTATCCTCTAATTGTTACTAATACTATTAGAGTACTACTATTGTACTATTCCTACATCATTTTATTTCCCCCACCTTGAATTTAATATCCAGTTCAGCATCCCTAATAAATTGGTCAGAATTTGAATTCAGATTAAATATCAAAAAGCTACCTGTATCTTACATGTACACACATTAAAACAACAAATACTTTTATTCAAAGGGCTATACAGCTTATCACTAAGATGAACTAGTGAAGGGGTGTGAGGAAGACAGATGATATTTTTTAAATGGGATAAGGGCATTAGATGCCTCAGGAGTAGTCCCTTGCAGTTCGACCTGGCAGGACTGTCGGCATACATTTGCTGGAAGCCAGTTCCATTATTAAACTTTGGGACGGAGCGTTGGGCAAATACAAACGGATCTATGTCGCTTCTGGCTTGGTTCTCCCATGTTTGTGATATGTGAAGGAAAATAGGGCTTTCAAGCGAAAGGCAGAGAGACCATTGACTACCTTGTGCACAATTCCCAGTCTACATGCAGAGTGCCTTGTAGATAAGGTATGCCACTAAAATGTGCTGATCATCTCAGTCACACTGCTGGTTTTCATGTATTTTCCATTGTGATGTAGCGTGCTGATGTAGAGATCTCAAGAGTTCTCAAGATGAGAGTGGATAGAAAGAAGCCAGGGTATCAAACCTTCTGCATGGGACAACCTGCATAATACAAACAAAAAGAGAGAAAGCAAATGAGATTAAAACTAGCTGCACTACATTAGATTTTTTTGTTTAATAGTACCTTCCCACTTTTAGGTCTTACATTTTAGTTTTATTACAAAATGATAGACTTATGTCTATCTGATAGGGCCTTTTTTGAAGAGTAGAGTAAAGGTTTATATTCATTTCCAATTATTGAACAAGGAACTTTGTTTTCTTATAATATTATTATTATTTGTGAAACATTTGTTACATACAACAGGCAGTACATGTAGAGGTAGAAGTCTATTGAATAATTTTAAGTTGTTTATAAACATAGGAGTATCTACTGTTGTCTGATTTTGTGAGAAAAATTTTGATAGATATGTAATATTGAAGAAGAAAAAAACAACTTTGATTCGTATTGTAATATCATGCTGAGGGAATAAAGTGATTTGTTTATTAAGCAACACCGTAGTTTGTCACCTAAATAAAGCTAGAGAATAAATGAGAATTACAAGATATAATGCAACATTATAATTAAGATGGTAATTGGTGATTAGTCCAAGATGAGTGCGATGTTGGCATGGGCTTAGCCTTAGATTATACAGCCTGAAAATTTTCGAACTTTATACAAACATACCTTGCCAGAGTTCAACTCAGGTGTCCTGTTCCTGAGATCTACACCATAACATGTGATGATCAGGTACTGGTAGTCTCTGTTGCACATCTGTGGTCATTATCTGCTTTTTGGTTGCATAGGATCTACAATCAAAAGAAAACAGAAACTTAGTAAGGTTCGTGCAAGTAATAGTATCAAATGCTTGCATTAGTTATCAGTTTATAACTTGGTTCATGTCCTTTAGACTAGAGTTAGAAATACCCATGCAATACCAAATAAAAAGGGGGTAGCAAATAGTCCTGAAACTTTACTGTAAACAAGGTAAATATACGTAAATAATATAAACCTATTTTCTCTCTAAACATGTCATTTTCCTCTAAATATTTCAAACAAGGCACAGTGCCATAACTTAGAAGTTAGAGCACAATGAAGAAAAAAGAGGAGTGGGGGTGGGGTTGGGGGGGGGGGGGGGTAAAATTAGGAAGCTAGATAGGGACACCCTTTTTGTTTTGTTTTGTTGTTGTTGATATAGTCTATCTAGCCTACATCCAAACTAAGCTGGACCTGGATACATAATGCCACACTAGCAACAGCATAACTAGATCTAGACTAGACCCTAGCCTAGGCCAGGGCCTATGCCTTGCCCTTATAGCCCGAATTTTCTGTCTCTTTCGTTCGTTAGCCTCTGATTTGGGTAGGGTTGGCTAAAGAGAGGAGCCGACTCTACCCAAATCAGAGGCTAACGAACGAAAGAGACAGAAAATTCAGGCTAGACTCTATGCTATGAATACTAGCCTAGGCTTTACAGTAACACTAAAGTGTAGCCTGTTATAGCCGCGCCAGCTCAGGAAACGCAGTCGCTTATTGGTGGAGTGTTACAGCCGGCTAGCACCGGCGAATTGAAAATCATAAACCGCTCCACGAAATCTCATCGGCTTGGACTAGCAATGAGCCATTTGCGCAGTCTACAACAGGTCTACATCTACTACCGATTACTATCGGTAATCAAGCTATGAACTAAACTTAAAATTACGAGATGTGCTGTGATGAAATAACCTACGGTAAACTCCTGATTATTTCTAAAAATATTACCGTCGATGACTTAAATTAGAGTTCATTCAATCAGTAATATTCTTTGGTCAGAACAAAGAAAAAAGGATGGGGTAGGGGGTTAACCGGGTAATACGTTGTGACAATGCGGAGAGCCCCTCACTGCAATGACGAACACATCACAATCATTTCAGATATCTTCACACAAAATTTATCTTTACTTACTTTTTTGGTATCCGTATGGTATCACTTTGATGTCGATGTTCGCCTGAAGATTTTCTGCTCAACTGAGATGTATTTGACAAACTTCTATTATAATAGAAATTCACTTACAAAAAAAATGTTTCATTGTTTGTAATTGAAAAACTTCAAAGTCGCAGTTCATACAACTGCCATTTTTCATCATTTTCTTGCTCAAATCGTAGGGAATTCTGGGAATGCAAAAAATGTTTTATGCATGACCTAATACATAAAACATTTTGTCGATGGCCAATCAACAAACAGTAGTTGGCGTATTTTTTAAGTCATTGCTCATGAATATTCATTGACCCTCCAAAACCGTCGTTCAAATCGGACAAAACCCCCATAATGCATCCAATGCAAAACCTATGAAATGTCAAAGGTCAAGATTTTAGTTGGCCCTCTAGTCCTCCTACGGAGGACATACTATTCTATTCTATTCTATTCTATTAGTTATTATGCTTGATGGATGAACTTTAATTATGTTATGTTATTTTACCATTACTTCTTAAATCTATTTATATGTAACACCAGTGGATGTGGAGAACCTCTTGACAGAATGGAAATTCTTTTAGGTAATCCTCAGGCGTCCGCTGGTGGCTTTTTCACTGTCTTGTTACTCTTAATGTTATATGCTCTGTGTTGTCATTCCTATTTTGTTTATACATGTACCTGGAAATCAAATAAATTAAATTAAATTAAATATGATCGAATCTCTTTGATAAGTAGTACAGTGGAGCTTCAACACAGAGTGAAAACCCTGCTGGCTCCCAGCAGATAATTGGATCTGTGAAGGCTTATTCTCTTATATTTTTATATCGTTTTACAGATCGTTGTCCCAATATGACATTTATTTTTAATAATGTCAAAGCAATCACACAAAAACACTAGGAGGATGCTTTACATTTTACAACAATGTATTCATGCTATTTGTTCATTAGTTGCCATTATCCCCAGCCAGTACTGTATTGAATGGCTTTCATTCTTGAGTTATAAAACCCACACAAACATCAAATTTACAAGGGGTATGAATGATTAAGTTGGTGACTGTACATGAAGACAGTATATGCTGAATGTGATTATATGCATTTAGTGAAAACAATCTAGTATATTGTTGGGTTCACTAGAGAAATGTTATCCAAGTCATTTCATCGGCAGACTCACTGGTACTCGTAAAGAAAAGGAAATATGTGAGAACTCATGGACAAAGTCACACATTTATGTTGTATTTATATACATCCTTGTAAACATGTTAGTATATACATTACTGCATCCCTCCCCCTCTCTTTCTCTCTATCTCTCTCTCTCTCTCTCCCTCTCTATGTGTACATGTCTATTTCTATGTCTCTTCCTTCTCCCCCCCCCCTCTCTCTCTCTCACTCTTTCCTTCTTTCCTTCTTGTTTCTTCCTCTGTATACCTTAGTCATTATTGCATTCTTTTTATGTGAATTTCTGTTGTGTGTTTAGGTATAAAGATCAAGTAGTCTGTGCAAAGCAGTCTCTTCCAACCAAGGATCCTAAAACTGGACTACCAGCTAAGAAGAAGAAAAAGGTTGAAAAGGTGATGTACACAAATTTCCAAATTTTAATTGGAAAAACACAAAGCATCACAATGTTTCATTTCTTTGTTGTAAATTATTACATTATTCCAACATTTATTTAATAAACTACATGTATATCTTATTTTTCATAATTCTGCTAAAAACCTAAAATTATATTAATGTCTACATGTCAACCGCTTACTGATGTAAATCACACGCACAAACAAAAATTGCTGAAAATGATGCTCTCTACCTCAGCATAAACATATACAACAGTAGTTATGCTGTAATTTTTTACACCAGAGCAATTATCATGGTAGAGGTGTCATGGTCGAGTGGATACGCCACCGGACTGTCGATCACAAGGTCCGTGGTTCGAGTCCCGCGGCACATATGTCCTTTGGCAAGACATTGATCTACATTTGCCACTCTCCACCCAGGTGTTAAATGGGTACCCGGTAGGATACGAAAGCCAATGAATGTAGTATGCTTAGCAATTTGAGCCTAGTAGCTTTTGCTGGAATGCTCCCCAGGGAGTGGAGAAAGTGCATACATTGTGTGCGAGCAAGCCAGAATTCGATGACCGGGGTAATAACATGTCTGTAAAGCGCTTAGAAACTCTGACATTGCTGATGTATTTTAAAAGTGCTATATAAGCAGAAATAGATTATTATTATATACTATTATGGTGATTCTGGAAGATTCCATGTACAGGTTGTAGATTTTTTTTGCATTTTCTATTGCAATGTATATAATTAGTTATATGAGTCGTATTTGTAATTATATGCACAAAAGTAGGGACTCTTATTTGAATCTTGATTGAGGAACATTTGTTTCGTTTTTTGAATATATTCTGTTTACATATAAAATCAAGATGATGATAGTATTCCATTTTCAATCAATATCAAGCTCAGATCAATTCCTAACAATTTGTTTTTAAATGTTGGTAGGTACGCTATATTTTCATCCACTATGTCTTTATGAATGCTGTGCATCTACCTATAATTTGGTTTTGTATTGGGCTATTTATATCTCCTTTTTTGTACAAGTTTGATCAATTAAATGATGTTTTGATAAAAAATGACATACCTATTAATTGCGTTTTGCAATATTCAGTTCTATAATTTTATTACCAAAGTTAATTGATAAAAGTGGGGAAAATTGTTATACATGTATTTTATTTCTTTGAGGTGATTTTTAAACATAATGAATGTATTTATTTATGCTGATTCTTTGCTTGATGTTGGCAGCTCTCCAATCAAAGCCTGATAGATGAAATGCTAGCCTCCCAACGAGAGAGAAAGCAACAAGAGAAGGTCGCTGAAGAAGAGGAGCAGAGACTGGAAACAAAGATACCCTTTTCTGTCGGTAAACTAAGGGAAGCAGCTCTGCAATTTCAAGAAAGGTTATATGTTAGAATTTGCCTTTTATAGTTTTCTAGATGTACTCTGTTTTGACACAACTGTTAATGAATTGTTCACCATTTTCGAGGAAGAAACCTCCTATGTATAATAATAATTCAGTGTTGTGTTTGATTTATTATTTTAGTTATTTCATGGCATGGAAATTTTGTGTTTCTGAATCACTCAAGAAATGCGCTATACAAGAACAGAAGATTTGTATTCATTACATGCTGGTACCAGTAAAACAAGTCTGATATACCGCATTTTTTGAATGAATATTGGGTTGACGAATTCACTGGTATTAGGTTGACGAATTCACTGGTATTGGGTTGACGAATTCACTGGTATTGAGTTGCAGGTCAGACAATGATAAATGGAGGTTATGGTCGATGGCCTGCCTGATCATGGTATGTGGATGCCCACCTAGGGCTTGCCCTAATTATTGATTTAAATTCATGGGCCATTGAAGCATGTCATGGTCTAGGGGATACGTCACCTGACTGTGAATCACATTGTTCTTGGGTCGAGTCCTGCCGCGCCACTTATGTCCTTATGGCAAGACATTAATCTTCATTTGCCTCTCTCCACCCAGGTGTTAAGTGGGTACATGGTAAGATGCAATCATTAATGTGATGGGATGCGCATGTAAAAAGACGCCTTGTCGGAATTCTCCCCATGGAGCGGGCACTATCATGTGCGAATTAGCAATTGAATCCAATAACCGGAGTAATAATAAATGCAATGTAAAGCAATTAGGAATGTAGTATTAAACTCTATACAAATGTGGCTATGATTTTTATGTCTGATCTACCACACTGTTTTAATCATTATTGGTTTGAATTATAATTGATCTTGCAGGTCCAACATGGATGAATGGAGGTTAGTAGGGTGCCTGCCTGGTCATGGTATATGGACGGCCATCAAGGGTAGACAGCTCTCAGTGTTTAACCAGTACAAAGCCCAGGAGGTTGTGCTTTATCACAGACTACTGTCTACTCATAAGCTCCCTTATCAGAAGCTACCTGTTCCTATCGAACTATCAGCCGGGTAAGTTATGGATATATGATCCTGTTTCAACTGTTTCATACAACTTGGTACCAATAACAAGATACGATAAATGTTATAAACTACTGAAATCCTTGCATCTGATTGGCTATGAGCAGATTTGTCATAGATCTGTGGAAGTTATTATTGATATCAAGTTTATGAGACAGGGCCCAAGGGCAGATACTGATAGCCATACATTCTCACTCATTACAGGACTCATTGCTAATTTACCTGTATCTGATTGGTCTGTATCAAATTTGAGTGCTGTATGAGCTGCATTTTTATGCCTCCGCTACAAAGTAGCCAGAGGCATTATGCCTTGGGGTTCTTCCGTCCGTCCGTCCGTCCCGGTCTTGTGATTACGTTATCTCAAGAACCTATTGATGGATTCCTGCCAAACTCAAGACATGTATGTATCTTGCAGAGCCAATGAACTTATTAGATTTTTGGGGGTAATAAGGTCAAAAGTCATGGGGCTCATTATGTATGCAAACATAGCTTGTGAACTCATATTATCATTAGAACCGACAGATGGATTACTGTCAAACTCAGGACATGTATATTTCTTGCAGAGCCAATGAACCGATAAGATTTTAGTTTCTAGAGGTCAAAGATCAAAGGGTCATACATAATGTATATATGAAAAATAGCTTGTAATTACGATATTCTGAGAACGTGTTAACGGATTACAATTAAACTTGAATTTAAAAATTGCTTCTGTTTTGGTTTGTAAAATGGCTCTATGGCGGAGGCATCATTTTCGACTGCGAGCAGTCAAAGTTCAGCTGGTTCAGCACTGATAGGGTTTCATGTGATCATTTAGCATGTAGCCTTAATTGTCACGTGGCACACTCAAATAAAGAAACCTAAACACATGCCATTTACAATACTCATAATTATAATCAAGCTTTATTGTAAAGCAAAGCAGAGTACCAGTATCTGACAAAAAAGAGAATGGTAAGAACAAATTAAATACCCTCTTTAAATAACTTTACATACACTTGGTCCCAGCAAAATAAACCAAACTTGTCAAATCAAATATAAATGTTCACCACTGTGGTAACAGGTATCAAATCATTTCATATTTTGTTATATATGAAATCTACACCAATAATGTTCAATATAAGTAGACCTGACTTGTCTCAATATATAACGTATCTGTAACTTATATCAATTATCTCATACACTTCTCGCTCTTGAGAAACATTACCTTAACATCCATAAACAAACCTTTATTATCCGCTTATTCAGTTATCAACTCTACAAATTATACCTTCAAACGACCATGATCTCTTCTCAAAACAGTCAACAACTGATTTCTTATCGTAAACAGTCATGTTCAGGGAATAATTTTCCTCAAATTTTTTGATTAGCAATTTCAGCCGATGGATAAATATTTCAAATGAAATTCTGCACATTTCTATGGAAGAAAACTGCTACACAAAAGATATTTTGTATAGCAGTCATGCAAAAATGCATAGCAAATTGCGATGCGATACCAGGAAAATTATTCCCTGCATGTTAAATCCAGACCTGTATTGTCCGCTTTCTTCACCCTTGACTGACCTTTGACAATGACCTTGCTTATAAGCAATTCCAAAGTCGTCTTTATACAACGCATGTATCAACAATACAGCAGATATGAAAATACATCTACACTCAATCTCAAAATAGTCAATATGCCCAAATGATAGAACAGGCTCTGCTACACCTTTGACATCTCATTTCTATCTTCAGTTATATCTTTCAAGTTCATCAAACTATTTTGTCATTTCAACAAGTTCCATAATAGTCTGTCAAAATTCTCCGCACAATTACAGCTCACCATACTGTTCATTTTGCATTCTCTATTCTGGAGACTCCATGTTCTTGGTGATCTGTCGGTCATGTGTCCTAATGTCCCATCTCACATCGACTCTCGTAGAAACCTCAACCTGTCTCCCAAGACCCTGTGTCATCTAAAATGTAAAGAGTTCAGGCACAAACATTTCTATACTATAGGCTCTTCTTATAGGTGAAACATGCATCAATTAAAATTGTAAATATTTTCCTCTTCTTTAATCATAATGTTCTTTGCCCAAAGTGTAAGCGAATGGTAAAACAACATGAACATGTTATACCTTTCTCGTACTTCAATTTGTCATATGAAATAAAAATCACCCTTCATTAGAGTACAAGATTATACAATCTTCGATGTAGTAAAAGAATACATTTTCATGATTTCACTTACCGATGGAAAAGTATCGGTTCTACTTATAAGCTGCAAATTGTCATGTAGCAAAACTTATAAAGCAAGAAGTTACATCTTTCTCAACTTTTATTCTTCAATGTGTGGACAAGCAGCTATATTACTTAAGCAAGCTGCTACGTACTCCAGGACCTCCGTTACACCAAGACAACTTCATTAGGTGTGGCTCCTAGCCACTCTTACTCCAGTACATTATATACAGTCATCTACAAAAGAACTCCCTGCCTATAACAGGTGTAATGCCATTCCACTTTCCTTTCAATGGTAGCCTCAACCTTTTCAGACAGTAACCTGTGACAACACATTCAATGCTTTAATAGCGGGACACTGTATAATTTCTATACTAAATACATCCACCGATGGCGCATTCTCTCTCTCTCTCTCTCTCTCTTTCTCTCTCTCTCTCTCTCTCTCTCTCTCTCTCTCTTTCTCTCTCTCTTACATGTACACGCTATATTTCGCTTTTTAGTTTCCTTGTTTCATGAAAGAAAAAGGATATTTTGATAAAACCGCTGTTTGCGTTTTCCAACGTGACAGCCTTGCAATCACAAATCAGAAAAGGCCATTGCTGAAACTTGTTTTCTGCTTGTAATAGGCCTTCTAAAATCATTTCAATGAAGTATTGGCTGTATGTTTTATATCATAATTTTCTTTTTTCATTGCAGTATGTTTGGTGACCAGAAGAACTGGTACACACTTCTCGGTATGAAAAGCCAAGTCAACCCAGTCGACCAATCAAGACTCTTCATAGATGAACGTCTTCTACTGAATGGATTTGAAATTAGGCAGCTGATCGGTAAGTGTTCTGTGACATTGCATTGTGTGTTATGTTTGTGTAATCTGATTGCATGTCGTGGCAGATGCAGGATTCTGTGCTGGGGGGGGGGGGGGGGAGTCTGAAAGACTGACAGGCCCAAAAGTATTATTTAGTGCTAAAGCCTGAGAAAAAAAGGAGAAAAAAAGAGAAACAGGCTGATTTTCATGCTTCTCTGTTGCTAGCTAACCATGCTTCAGGTGCCTGTCTTGGTTTTAAAGTTGAGTTTGCACTTGAAGTTGCCTTATTGGTTTTTTTTGCCTATGAGAGTGAAGAAGGTAGATAGGGATGGATAGGAGTGAGAGGAATAGCAGATGGAGCAGGATGGGGGTAGAATAGGATGTAGAGAGAGAGAGAGAAAGAGAGAGAGAGGCCAAGGGAAAGGGAGAGAGAGAGAGAGAGAGGCCAAGGGAAAGGGGGGAGAGAGAAAGGGGGAGAGAGAGAGAGAGAAAGAGAAAGGGGGGAGAGAGAGAGAAAAAGGCCAAGAGAAAAGGTAAATAGAGAGAGAGGGGCCAAGGGAAAGGGGGAGAGAGAGAGAGAGAGAGAGAGAAAGAGAAAGAGAGAGAGAGAGAGAGGGGCCAAGAGAAAGAGGAAAGAGAGAGAGAAAGAGAGAGAGAGGCCAAGGGAAAGGGAAGAGAGAGAGAGAGACCAAGAGAAAGGGGAAAGAGAGAGAGAGAGGCCAAGGGAAAGGAGAGAGAGAGAGAGAAAGAGGCCGAGAGAAAGGCCGAGAAAAAGGGGAGAGAGAGAGAGGCCAAGAGAAAGGGGAAGTGAGAAAGAGAGAGGCCAAGGGAAAAGGGGGGGGGGGGGAGAAAGAGAGAGGCCAAGGAAAAGAGGAGAGAAAACAACAGATGAACGAATGCTGGATGATAATGTTTTCATTCAAACAAACTTTCTCTTGACCTTAGACCCCGACACAATGGATGCAAGACTGGAGGTCGTTTCAATGTCGATGAAGATCGTCCCGTTTTATGGCTTGGATGACCTGATTGAGATAGTGGAAACCATAGCAATGCAGAGAGTTCAGTCAGTGATGCATTGCAGGCCGCTCAAGCTTTCTAATCATCTCATGGTAAGGATCTAGACAGCTATATAATGCCCCCCCCCCAACTCCGGGGTCGAAGGGCCTGCATTCATGTTCCCAAAATCTCTGGTAAAGGGGTACTTTTCACGCAACAAAATCCGGTTCGTAATACACAAAAAATTGACCCGTGTTGACTTTACACACTGGAGATAGTGGGGTGCTTTCAAAGGCAGGGAACATGCAAACGCGTACTCTAAATAACACTGAGTGAGGGTGGGCGTGATGATGGTAATGTGACATTTGCTCAGGTGACATTTGCTCCTGGTTCCTTAAAGATGTATGTTTAAGGTGGGGTTGCAATCAGGTTCTTGGTTAGATTTGTTTAAATTATCATTATTTTATTTGGCAGTAAAAAAAATAGATAACAAAATTTGAAGAAAAAAAATTGTATACCGGTAGATAAAATAAAAAACAACCATTGGAATGCCAGGGACAGACAAAGTTAAGCTTAAAACTGTGGCCAAAACCCTTCTATCCCCTTTACAGTGGCTGTAAGCATAAGGTGTTTTTTACAAAAATATTAATATAAAAATTACAACCGTATGTTATTACTTACTTACTTGTTTACTTGTTTATTGAGGCTTGAAGCATCAGCTTATGAGCCCATCGTGACAATCACAGCTTTATTACGTTGATAAGGGTTATATTTGAGAGGATGGTGATGCCAATGCTTTTCTAGTTCAGATTTGAAGCTGTTAATAGATGATGCTTGGACTGTCGATTTGGGTAGCCCGTTTCAGTTGTTACTTGATCGAACAGCAAGGGACCTCTGTCTAACACTTGTTTTACAATGTGGCTTCTCAACTTTGAAGATATAACCTCTCGTCTGACTTTCTTTGCTCATAGAGAATAATCCCTCTTTCTTCTCGTCCAGTCATGATCTTGTATAGTTGGATTTGGTCAGCTCTTTGCCTTCGATATCTTATCTTAAAATGAATACAAAACCAAATCTCCCATCAACACAACACTTTTAATTTGGGAGAGAAAATAAAGAAGGGGATCAAGAGGAGAAAAGGAGGAGATAGATAGAGTCACACAGTGCAACATAGAATGGAACGAGGCAGGAGGAAGAGAGGGATAACAAATACTGGTACATTTAAAAAACAGAAAAATAAAAAGTACTTCATATTCAATTATCATTATCATGCACAAAATATATACACCTGCTCTCCTGGAGACAAACATCAATGTAATACCATGGTTGAAGAAAAGATTACTTATATAGTATAGTGCAATATAGTAGGTTTAAAACGGAGGAAAAGGATTCCCATTGATCAGTTTATGTACTATGGGACACAAAATAAGAATAATGGGTAGAAGAAGAGTATAAATAGCAATATAGGCCGATGTATATCAAAACAACAGAGGATCATTATTAAACCATTGACACCCAATAAGCATAAAAAAATGAGTAATGAGAAGAAAGAATCACAACTCACGAAGATGACATCTTAGTTGAGTCAGCCATGTCGATAAGTAGGTCTCGACTACGCAGGTAGCTCTTCCCAGTAACGAGGGGGATTGAGGGCAAAACAATGCATTCGCTGAGTCTGCGCCAAGACTTGAATGAACATTACAGTATCGGCATAGCGAGCATTTACAGAGATAAAACACTTAACAGTGTCACATTTTACAATACCGGTACCAAACAAAGCCAGGGTTACATATGGGTTGAAACAAAATGTTCTCCATGACTCAAGAGAATGTCAATTCAGAGTCCAAAGCCTATTCTCATCTGTTGACGTTTTTGTTTAAGTACAAGTCGAGCAGCCTGTTTCTGTATTTCGTCAATCTTACTTTACAGTGATTTACCGGTAGTATACAAATGCCATACCGGCTGACCATAGTCCAATATAGGTATAACAATCGTCTTAAATACAGAAGAAGAAAAAAATTATACTCAGTGACTGACTCAAGTCGAGCGCTGTGAAGAAGTTGTTTGGAATTCCTGGGTTTCTTTATATTGATATTGATTCTTTAAAAATTCTATTTAGGTCATTTGATAGAGTATAAGTACCTTGTATGGTCAAAGTATTGTCTCATCTGCAAAAAGGACACATGGCAGCTGAATTTGAGTAAGGATGTCATCAATGAATAAATTAGATAGGGTGGGGTTCAACACTCTTCCCTGGGGCATAGCTGAAAAAAAAAGGAAACTAAGAGCACCCTTGTAATAACTCTTTGTTCCCTATTGCATAAGAATGATCAAATCCAAAGCCATAATAGATCAGACACGAGGTACCTTGAATCATAAACAAATGACACTACATACGATCTAGGCCTAAGATTGTATCTTGTTATAGGTTTATAATTAAAAGGGCGAGACCAGAGTTAATCTATTTTGAGGTTCCAAGGTTTCTTTATTTTTTCCACATAATATAACATAATCAAATGAATATGCAATATATACAAATTCAATAACAAAATATTAACTAAAGATACGACAAATGATTATACAATTATTTAAGATTTGCACAGTGGTAAAACATAGTGGAGGAGTCTATTAAAAAAGCATGGCTTGTATTTGAAAGACCCCTTCTGGACGAGACACAGTAGGAGGTACTAACAGTATCATTTCATTTCTTACTCCGAGATAATTGACTAGGATCGCATTGTAGCAGGTCACAAAAATACAAAATACACTGAGTCCTTGAGATGCTGGGTAACTTGCCTACTGGAAGGCCATTTGCCAGCACCAACCAAAGACAAGCCAGACTGGGTTTCACCCCAGTTTTTGACCACACGGAGGAAGACCCGCTTCCATTGACCCCAGTGCCTAATTCCCTGTGTGCATGTACCAGTGAAGTTAGCTGCATTATAATTTCTCTCCTTCGGTTTATTTATTTATTTACAGTTATAGTTTTCATTTAAAAAATGCTTTCAATAGGCCCTGCACAATAAAAACAATGCATATACATGTAGAATATTTGCATACTGGATGAATACAAATTGCACACATACAATAACATAAGAAACAAAGATTGTGAATACAAAGGTAAATACATAAGAAACTAATATTATGAATACAAATTTGTAAAGTGTACCTGTACAATACTAAACAGTACTAAACAATACCCTATAATTTAGTGTAGTATAATATTATGTCTTATCAGTCTAACATATGTAGTACACTTTAGTCATGTGGAGTTGGCGCATTACAAATACTCTATATTATTATTATTATTACATGAACTTCATGGACATGTACCGTAATACTTTTCTTTCTCTCGGACCTTTCAATGCTTCACAGTGAAACTACTGTCTATAATCTGACTTACAAGTAAGGGAATATCTGACTACTAATGCTTTTTGGTGTAAATACTCTGATGAAGTCAGCAGTCTTTCAATGTTCGTTTCTTCCTGATAATTAATTCAGACTAAAAAAACATTGTTCTTTCTATTATATATCTGGGGCATTCAGCAAGAAAGTGTGTAGTAGTTTGTGGTACTCCACAGATGTCACACAGACTAGTTTCATGCTAATTTAGAAGGAGGAGGTTCTGATTTAAGCCAATGTTGTCCATTTTTAAACAGTGCACAATGGTCTCACTACTCTTGTGGTTTACAATGCACTTATAAGTCACTGATATTGATTTTTTTATATTCATATTGATGGGGATACTGTTTCGTCCCATCTTCTTTGCCATTTTTACATGTGATATAATTTGAGCCTTTTTTGAGGATACTATGTCAGTGAAATATTAGCTTGCCTCCAAGACATTGGTAATTTACCAAGTGCAGTGCAGTTCACATACAAGCTAGGTACATGTATATGGAACGTATGTATGAATGTATGAAGGTGTTCATGGACACATAATGCACACTGGGGCACAGACAATAACCAAGGATATGGAAAATCACTCGCAAGGAAAAAAAAAATCACATGATATTCCAAGCAAACTTACATATCTCCATAGCAGTCTACTCTAGGATTAAAACTGAATGGGTGAACCAAAGTTAGTAATAAAGTGAAATCAGGAACCATAGAAAAAATATGTCATACATGAACCAATAATTATTATTTTTTTTTAAAAGGTGTGGGTTAGTTATAGTGTTTGTTCCAAGGTTGAAGTTGAGAATGAGATTAGTGAAGAAAAATGAAAGTGAAGTAATTGTAGCCAGAGCATGTATTATACAGCCACACAGGCTCTCTCTGACTATGATTACTCCATGGTTTTGTTTCTTGTTTCTTACACATACAAATTCTTAGCTTCTACTCTTTATCTGATGATATATCTCCGCTTAACCCTGAACTTAGAGGCAACATAAAAAGCTATCACTACCCTAACTATTACCCTAACCCCATACCTTTAATAGACATAATAAAGCCTAGATCAAATGTCACTGGGGCATCTGTGAGATCCTCATCTCTTCATATTATTTGAAATTTATTCCTACATGACAAGGTAGCTGCTTCATTTATCATTTCTGTAAAAGGACTATCCTAGTTAAATACTCTCTACATGAAGGTACATTGGCTACTTGTAGCAATGGTAATGGTAACAATATTGACTTAATAATTTATTTTGCAGGGAGAAGCTGTTCGCATGGCCAGGTCACTGCCTAACATCATGAGTTCAGAGGAGGTCAGTGACATCATAGACAGTGTGGACAGTCTTACCATGTGGAAGAGTAAACTCTGCTTGCATGGAAAGAGCTTTATTAAGGATATCTTTACCATTCCTGATGTGGAGCCAGATTAAAAATGTTACGACACATCCTCTGCAGACAATGGCCCTGCGGTTTTTTTCTTACTAATGTTCTAACAAATGATTTTGAGCCAGAGAGGATACTGAATGGGCAACGATAACTCCTTAAAAATTTGGGTTATTGACAATAATTTTCTCAGCAATTCAATGTAAGAATATGTAGAATAAGGTTTAACACCAGATTTTTTTCTTGACGTGGAGGTGTTGTGGTCTAGTTGATATGTCACCAGACTGTAGATCCCATGGTTCGTGTTTTGAGTCCCGGACTAATGTCCTTTGGCAAGACATTAATCTACATTTGCCACACTCAACCAGGTGATGCATCAGTAAATGGGTATCTGGCAGGAATTAATTCCTTGAAACGCTAGAGAGCCATAATGACAGCCATGCTAAAGCAGGTCTAATAATTGTGGAGCGCCAGGAGTGTCAGATCTGACACACATGAGCAATATACAAGAATCCATTATTATCATGAAGAACTGATTTTGAAGATATTTTAGCCTTCAATATTTTTTTGTAGCTTATGGTCCCCATCATGTACTATAATTGTGCCTTTGCACATATTGAATTGTCCCAGATTTAACAGCAGTATAGGCTATTGGGGAGGATTGTACCATAATTATCTGAAATTGATGACTTTTAAAATCAAATGGCGTATCTGATGATGAATTTGATATAGTAGCACAGACTATATAATCACTCCATTAAAAAAAAAAGTGAAAATTGATTGATCAATCAACATTCAATGAAATAAGACTTTCTTCATCTTTTTATGCACTGGTGTTTAGAACAGAAACTGCATAAAGTAATAAAGAAAAAGCATATATAGCTGCACTCTCCAAAATAGATTTTCTTTATTGATCATTTTGTTCAGGTTTGAAGGGCTTTTCTCTCAACTTAATATTAAGCAAAAAAAAATAACCTTTTTCCACAACTAATTTCCAGACATGTAAATAATGTTTTGCCAAGAGGATTTTAAAGTGATCATGCTTCAGGAGATATAAAAAGAGATGGAATACTAATAATTTAACAAAGATGAAGACACGTCATTGGCTTTGTACAATACACTTTACTAGTATATGATAATAGCAGCTGAAAATAACATGAATTGTTGTAACGTTTTGTTCATTTTGTAGTATACTTTTATTTCTATACATGTATTTTAAATACAATGAGCCTTATAAATTTAGTGATAAATTTTACTTTGAAAATGGAAGAATGCTGTCAACAGAAAATGTTCACTTTTTGTTGGATTAGTTGCTTCATGATAATCCGATAGTGTACCTCTTTGATCTCAATCTCATTGATAGATTAGATTGTGTAAAAGATTTGTCAAATAAAAACAACTACAGTTTTATTTTTATAATACTTGTTTTATGCATGAACAATATACTTAAGGGTAAATAATGAGAATAAAAGCTCACAAATGCTTACAAATTCATGTGAATCTGTTGTGCATTTTTGTCAGCGTACTTGTCAACTTGAATACATGTTCTTCTGTCACTCATTTTTCTTTTTTCTTTTTTTGGTTTGGGGGGGGGGGGGGTACTCACATATTAAGACCTACAGGGTGTGCCGCTCTAACAGCAACTTTTGCACAAAAAAATCCCCCCTAAATAGGGGTCCGCTTTTTCAAAATTTTGAAAAATAGGATTTACTTCGAAAAATATCGGCCAAAAATGGGTAGGGGGTTTGACGTTTCAGCAGTACACCCCCATCAAAACCAAATCTGAGTAGCTTAGTTGCCATTTTGTTTTTACATTAAGGCTTGTTGTGGAAAAATATTTCATAGTCAAATAAGCTGCAAGTTTCTATTTTTTAATGTGCAAAATTTAGCTGAAAACACCATGTTTCACGGCAGCAGTAAACTGTCTTTCTTAGACAAGTTTCTGTCTGCTGCCATCTCTTGTCGGTAATAATAATTAATTTTGTTCTGCTTGTTAGAAATTCATCTTCATTTATGAAAGCATGAATTTTCTTTAATCTCACTGCATTGGTTTTGAAAACTACCCCTTCTTTTGGCAACTCACTCCCCTTCATCCCATTTAATGTAGAGGAAAGGGAAGAATAGAGATGAAATATCCATGTCTTTGCGGAAACTAAAAAAAAAAAAAAGGGGGGGGGGGACTATAACTTCCCCTATTTTATTATTTGTGAAGTTAGTTTGGACTAGCATATATCAGCACAAAGCTTTTAGTTTCTTACGTTTCTCATCCCATTTCAATTTGTGTATTCTACATGTATTTTATATCAATCATATGTTATCAATTATTTGACCTTTGTTCTTTCATTTCATATTTAGGTGACTTTCACAATTCGTTTCTTTCTTCCCAATTTCTTTTTGTATATTTAAAAAAAAAATTGTTTCATATGCCTCATCTTTTCAATGATTTTATTCCCGAGCCTAAAGTTCCTCTTAAAAATGCCTTTGAGCGCCCACAATATTCGATCTCAATATCCAAAAAATAACGATTTATTTTTTATTTTTATGATGGGCCATTTAACCTTTGTAATCAGTGTTACAGAATGACAAAAGTTTGAAATAAAACAGACAAATAATAATAATAATAATAATAAATAATAATAATAATAATGATAAAAAGACAGTTATGGGTGTTTGAAATATGTGATCACTCAATCTTTTCAAGTCTCCAATTTGTCGTGTAGAAAAATATGATTTTAAAAAAAAAAAAAAAATGGGGGGGGGGGAGACCTTGGGTCACTTAAAATAGTGGTCTACTTAACTTAAAATTTGGATAGCATTTCATGATATTTCCTCTAAAAAAGACCCTCTTGAGTCATACGTTTTGATACATTGAAATGTTAGTTTTTGTGTGCTGGAATAAATGGGGAAAGTTGTTCGACATTGTCAGTAGAGCGTCCGCCTCACAACCGGGAGATCGTGGGTTCGAACCACGGCCGCGTCATACCAAAAGACGTTAAAAGACGGGAGTTGCTGCTACCTTGTTTGGCGTTCAACAATAAGGGATAGCAACGTCGATCTGGCGCTGCTCAGTGGCTGCCGGGCTCACGATCAATTGGGCAAAAAGAATTTCCATTTTCGGTTTAATAAAATTTGCAGTGGACTTTAAAAGATTATTATTATTATTATTATTATTATTATTATCCACCAAATTTGTAGTGTTCTTACTTTTAGTGATTACAAATTTCAACAATTCATTACTTTTTGTGATTACAACTTTCAACAATTCATTACTTTTTGTGATTACAACTTTCAACAATTCATAACTGTCTTATTTTGCGTGTGAAGTCATTTGAACTTTTACCAGTCTGATTCTATGAATGTTTCTGCTTTCTTTTAGAATACATGTAAGTAGTTATTTTGTTAGTATTGTATTTCCATTTGATGCGATATTAGTAATTAGCCATTTTCTTTAACTGATAATTGTTTCATGATGGTGTTTAAAAATTAATAACAACTAACTCAAATTAATGTTTTTTATCATGAGGCTGACCCAGATAGATTTTAAGCATGTAAACGAGGAAATACCTGCTCGAAATTTGTAGAATGCATCCATATTGCTTGTCATCGGTATTATCAGAAGATGCAATCTGGGAAATCGATTTTATTGGATGTGAATATGCGTGAGAAACTAACAAGTGTACCCGAGAAACATCCACAATACTTCTTTGTAAACAAAAAACCTAATCATTGTCTCGTAAAGAAAGAAAGATCTTGTTTACAAGCTCAGACTCTCACCAACTAAAACTTCAAAACGTGTCTGCTCTATCAATATCAAATTAACCCCTTTCGGTCAAGCGACGCATAACTATACATCTACTGCTATCAAACTAAAGACCTTACAATCTGGGATAGGGCAATTAGGGATGATTTGAGTAGTACGAGCGTTACGTACCTCATTTGAATGACACGCGCGAGGCTTCTGTTTAACGAGCTAAACACGTGTGATGTAGGAGCGTCGTATTAATAGATACGTCTGTTTTGGTCATTGCCAAAGGCAGGCAGTCGGGGTTTATATCTCTTCCAAAATGCGAGAGAATAATTTTGACGTGTTTTAGATAGATTGCAGGTCATGTTTAGGCCTACTTCCCTCCTGTAAATGAATTTATATGCATCTTCAAAACTAAAAAATCCATTTTATTTACACCTATTGAACATACATATACATATTATAAACTACTAAATGACATCATTGTGGCTATTCATAATCTAAATTAGAGGTTTGGGCGTCATAATTGCTGAAAATTGTCAATAAGCGCCCCGCTACAAGGTGGAGGATAGGAGGCAAGTTTGCAAGTACCCCGTTTTTTTTTTAAATACTTAAGAATCGATGGATGAACCCTACGCCACCGGGTTGCTTTGAGCCCCTCAAATAAAAACGATTTGAAGAAAGAAAAAAAATATTCATAATGTGAGGCAATATACAAAATTATGTTCGTATGCTGTATGAAACAATGGATATGAGCTACGTTAAAGTATTTGCTTGTTAGCATTTTTCTTGAAATTGCCCCCACCCCCAAGAGAATCCTGGATCTGTCACTACCCATTGCCCCTTCCAATATTATATACGTACTGATAGGGGCCCATAAAATGGACCTTTCGTTGAGTTCGCATCCCCCCCCCCTTCTGCCATGTATAGACTTCTTCTTCCCCTTCTTAGGTATACTCCTCAGCGTCCCGTTAGGAACCAAACGAGACTGCAAAAAGATTCTGTTTAACAGAATGGATGAATGATGATAATGTACATGAATGTGTATGAAAGAAGATGATCAATAAACGTTAATAATTTTCCCTTCAATATTAATAACTGCAATATTAAAAATACGTAAGAGTCATCTGCAGATAAATGTTCTTGAAAGAAAAGCCGTGCATTTGTCCTTAAATGCCTTCCCTTGTCAAATTAATGACTAGACGTCGCAGAATGTCAATTGAGTGATTTGGAGGGAAATCCAGAGGCTTGACACTTTTCACGATCCATTAGGATCCACGATACCGTGTGATTACGATACCATACGGTTTCTATTCTTCAAGTCGTCTGCCAAGTTTTTGGTTGATTATCAGTATCAATATTCGAAGAAGAGGTGATTTCTTTGTTCCTCCCGTTTTATACAATGAATTTCTCTAGTGCTACTTTTTATAATCTCTGAATTGTCTATTTTCTTTTTTGTTTCTTCTGTCGTTCCGTCTTTCGGTTTCATTTTCAGTGAAAGTCTCCATGAAATTTGTCTTTTTTATAATACCCCTTCTCCCTTCCTTCTTTTTCTCCCTTTTCCCTTCCTTCACACTCCCCCTCTTCTTTTTGAGTGCCACTGTATATCTCTATATACCTCTATTTTCGTTTAATAGTCATAACTTGCCCCTTTCTCAAGCTTTTTGCCCCCCCCCCCTTATGCCCTCACACATTCACACTTCATCCGCTCTCCCTCTTCCTTGCACATCTACCATCTCTGTTATGTTTCTCTCTCTCTCTCTCTCTTTATTTACTCTTTACCCCCTCCCTCTTTCTCTCTTTCATATTTATAATTTTCTCCTAAAATCTTTGCTTGGCTCTCGAATAATCTTGGTTTTACCACACATCTCTCTCTCTCTCTCTCTCTCTGCCTGGAGCAAAATGTCTCATTTCTGAAAAGAAATCAAGTTTATAGCGATGACTCACCCCTTTGATATCTCTTTTCACCACTCGATTTTCCCCTCCCTCCCTCTTTGTAAATTGAACTATCCATTCTGAGATCAATCATGCGGAACGCCTACTGATGTCCACGTAATGTCCCATTCACCTATTTCCTATCTAGATACATTCGGAGTGTTCTATTATTAATAGGGGTGTTTTATTTTGAAGAGACAGGTGCATATGGGAAATACAAGGAGGAATTTGGCGAATGTACACGGCTCCACCGATACCGCGTTCACCGATCATCTCGTTGTGGTGTAGGCTGGGACTAAACCAACGGGACGAATTCTAGCAGTGATTTTCTTATGTTCTTTCTATTCTTGGACTTATAATCGTGCGAATTTTCATTGGATTTGAGTACCTTCTACATTATAACATACCGTAGCCGTGTCATCATTCTAGAGGTAAGAACATTCTAAATGAACCATTTATTTTACTGAGTGGCATAAAATCTTATCCAACTCGAGATGAGAGTAGACATTTCGCATTGCCGTGGCACTGGTACTTTATACCAGTGCTACGAGTGTAGAGGGGCAACTGGTCGGCCAACGTCCCGGCTGAGCACACACACGCCCTTGCCTCACAGTCATGTTAATTTTACGATCCAATTTACCAATACTATAGTCACCACGATGGTCTGTAACATACATGTTCTGATTCACGAATGTGTATTGCATTTGAAGGATAAACGTCCCAATCCCTTTGTTGGAATTGTGTCGCCTTCCGAAAAACATTTCAGAATACTATTACTCAGAATACGTCTATTTTCTATATTGGCCAACTATATGCACTCGTGCACCTGTTCATTTTGTACATAAAAGTTGTATGAAAA